AGAGAGAGAGAGAGAGAGAGAGAGAGAGAGAGAGAGAGAAAGAAACGCCCGTCGACAATCATTTATTCATCGGCGATTTATACTTATCCCGTGCTCGCGACCGGCAGCAAATTTTACATGTGTGCTGCATTTTATCGCGAAACTACTCACGCAAATCGCCGCGTCGAAAACATATCTTTCGCGTGCGATAACGGCTCCTTTGTCGCCGCGCGCTGGCATATTTATGCCGCTGTTTGCGCATACCATTTGCCTCGCAATTATTTTTCAATAATAAACCACACGGCGAATTTAGCATCAATTATCTGTCCACCGGCTGTATGATTGTTTCGCTGACTTTGACAGTTTTCTTTTTTTAATATGCGCGAACGAGTACACAGACGATTGTTTCAGCTACATCGAAATTTACGATTCCTTCGCAAATATTTCTTGTTTTCGGTCCCCCGTTGTTACTGGAGTATTTAATTTCTTTATCTGCATTGCACGCGCGCTCGTTATTATCATCAAACTGAACGAAATAATCTTCATCTCTCTTTATCTCAATCGTGTTTTTCAAAAATCGCTAAAAAACACGTGTGTCCCAAAATATAATTTCATCCTCGCTTCCTTTCTCTCACTTATCCATACTTACCTCAAATCTTACTTCACACTTACTTATCTGCCTTATCTTACATGGAGAAAATATAGTAGTAAATATTACATTAAAATTATATTTCTTCTTACAATGTTTTTTGTAAAGCTGGACTAGAAAGTTGACAATCCATCTAATACACAATATAAAAAATATTCAAATTGCAATAATTTTATAGTGAAAGATTAAACGTGTATATATATCACATTTTTAAACAAAAAAAAATATATATATTAATTTTGACCTTTTCTTTTTACAATGTTTTTCCTAAAACAGGATTATAAATTTTATAATTTACTTGTGATACACGATATAAAAAAGTATTCAAATTGTGGTAATTTGGTAGTGATAAGTCAAACATGTATGACATTTGTAAATGAATATATATATATTAATTTCAATAATTTTCTTTTATAATGTTTTTTTTTTGTAAAACTATAAATTTGATCCACCTGATATACGATATAAAAAAATATTCAGATAATTACAATAATTTTGTAATGATGAGTCAAACATTTGTCAACAACATTGACATTTTTAAATAAATATATATATTCATTTCGATCATTCTTTTTGACAATGTTTTTCATAAAGCTGATCTATAAATTTTACGATATAAAAAATATTTAATTGCAATAATTTTTGTAGCAAAACGTCAAACATGCATGACCATTTTAAACAATATATAATATGTATATAGTAATTATATTTATATAGTAATTTCGGTCATAATTCCGTATAGTTCAAAATTACAAAAATTTTGTTGCCCTTTTTCTTACAATATTTTCTTCGTTTACTTACCGTATAATTACATCTTACAAAATGAAAAGCGTCCCGCTTTAATCGTTGTTATCACACTTAGAATTATCGAGGAAAACAACGTTTCGTTTCGTGAAAAATAACTTATCTCAATGTCGCACTTATACACTAATCTTACATTCAATAAAAAGATAATAAAAAGACATACACACTAATCTTACTTTCAATAAAAATTTGCTGAATCGGGCAAGGGGATGAAGGAAATATTGAGAGTGATAGAAAATAGACAACTGCATCCTCTTTGATATATATATACATATATATCTCTTTTTATTAATTGCATTTCTCTTACGCAGATAAATTGTCGCAGATATTACAAATTAGAAATAACATCACATAGTAGTTTCTTAATACGAGAATACGTTCGCAAAGGATCACTAACGTATCGAAAAGCCGCGGCGTTAGTCCGCGGCAAAACTATCGCGGAAAACTACGTAATCGGACTTTCATATCGCGCAAGGTACAAAAATATCCAAAGCACAGCGAGCGTCGCGCAAATCGTTGCTGTGCAACATTACGAATATCTGTCTCTCGCTCTCTGCTTCCTTCCCTTCCTCTCTATCTCCACGATACGAGAAACCATTATCCTCATCTCTCCACCCTTTCGCCGCGAAGAGCACACTTTATCGACCCTCGACTTCGCCTGTTCGTTTAACTCCGAACAGTATGAAAAACGAGCCCGTCCGCCTCGAAGATGTTGACAGAAGTTAGGCGGGAAATTACCATCAATTCCGTTCCCGACCACCGACAGATCCTCGATCGATCATCTCAAACTGATCCTTACAATTCGCGAACTTCAAGTGTCCCTCAGACATAAACATGCAAGTGTTGACACAAAAACCCTCATATATTTATACGAGGTGAAAGTACGAATTCCCGTACGCTGATAACACTGGCACTTAACTCTAGACATACTTGTTGTTTTGGTTTCTAGGTACGAATATTTCAACTTCCACATATACACATAGAACACGCAAATATACATAGAATATACAATATATTCAATATATGTTTGTATGTATATCCCAAATTAAAAGCTCAAATATTCGTCTTCATAAAGACAATAAGAATGTCCAGAGTTAAGTATTGGTGTTAGTATCCAGGCATATTGATAATTTTACCTTAAATATTTTTCATACTGTTCGCAGAGTTAACGACTTTAACTGTGATCGTCGTTGCAGTGCCAAAGCGTCGCGCAAAAAGAGGCGTTCGCCAGGACAACTCTCGCCCTTCGCGGTTTACAGCGCGGAAAGCCTTCGCCCGCTCATGAGATCAGGAAGTTCTTCCTCTGACGGCTCGTCAAGAAACAATCGCTTCGCAAAAATGGGAGCAACGTGAGTGCGTCCCGCGGTATGTAAAACGTAATTTGCAACAACGGCGCGGCCGCGCGTGACGCAACGTCGCTTCGCGGGTCGATCCTGCCAAGGCTCGCGTCGTGTTTCTTGTCAACAGCGAACAATCGCTACAAACGATAAACAATGGTAGACACAAGCAGCCGATCGGCGCGGATCGGCTGTGCCGCAAACTGTTACGTAAACGAGAGAGAAGGAGAGAGAGCAACGGAACGTGTTCGCCGGCGCAACTGATCGGTAACTGAATTGAATGATATATCGTTAATACATCGTATGGATCTTCGCACACAATTTTTTTTTTCTCTATGATTCTCGGCCCTTTGCGGGACTACCGAGGGATATACACCTCGATAACGTCGTCAGATGTTTTACTCTAATTTTACATACAATTGTGTATATTTGTTTCGTAATGTTTTTTTTTTTTTTTTATTTCTTTTCGTTTCTTTATATTCCTCGCTTTAGGGAAAAACTTGTACTCTTTTCTTGAGAATCCGCTTCGGACGGTCCGCAATTCGCGACGGAATTTTCTCTGTGATTTTTCACACGTGCCACGTAACGCGGGATAACATTTGATGGCTCGTCGATGTGTGTACAGACGAGATCGAGTAAACGTGATTCTATTTCTTCAAATGCTTCTTTTTGTTCTTTCTTTTTCACGGACAATAACTATCATTGCGAATTCGGCGCATTGCGGCTCACGGATCGTCACGAAGCGGTTTTTACACAATAAGATCGTAGTTCTATAGAAAAAACGAGATAAATTCTTGCAACGTCTCCAATAAAACACCCACGCACTGTAAAAACGCGATTAACGAGGATAATCATCGCTATTTACCACACACGACATTATTGTTTTATCACGATATATTATTTTAGAAAACACATACATTGTTCCGTGCATCTTTTAACCCTCGACAGTATAAACAACGTCTGACGGGCTCCCAGTTTTTTTAAATTTCGCACGAGACCGTTTCCATACATATACGTATACTCTATGATTATAAAATTAAATAGAAGTAAAATAACCGTGCGGTTCTCTAAACAGTTTCCTCGAGACTCCACTCGACTCCTCGTCACGCATTACAATTATGCGAGCTGTTTCGCGTGATAAATCTCGAATTTTATTATAAAATGTATCGTTATATGTATATATACGATATTTGCGATGTAATATAAATTATGTTTTACATATATATTTTTTTTGTTTGATAATGTAACACATACATGTATACGCGGGCATCATTCGCATTCATAATTCTCCATGTAAAAAGAAGGATGTTTTATACTGTTCAGGATTAATCTTTTGTGTAAAACGTATTATATGCGCATTCGCAACTCACCCACTCACACACGCTCTCCCATTAATTAATATAACAGTGAAACGAGGCCGCGAGTATTGCTTCTCGTCGCTCTGCAATCGCGACAATAATTCCGACTTGCGACGTCGTTTGTAGCGTTTGTTATTAACAAATAATTGCTGATCACACCGTTAACGTACAGGATGGACCAACAAGGGAAATTCGCAAAACCGAAAAATTTTTTGCAGTACGTTTATTATATATGAACCTATAATCACTTATAAGGAAACATGAGGCGGTTCCTTTTTTTTTGGATAAGCTTGATGTTGTAATGTAGACCAAAATAAGAGACACGTATTTTTTTGTATGTGCCTAATCAATCTTTTAATGTTTTTTTTAATGTTAAAATTTTAAACATCCCCATCACTTACCAATTTTTTTATAATCTAAGAATTCTGTTCCAAATGAAGGAATATTTTATGCCAAATCCAATTATATGTATATAATGGTTTCTCCGACATATGGACTTTTCGAAAAATAAATGGGAATACTTTTATATATCCGCAACGTTATACTGTATACTTAATCAAAATAAATGTTTCAACATAACGATAACAACAATGATAATACTAATTATTTTATACACAGCAGTAGTCATATATTCTCACAATTTGTCTTTACGAAAAATATATATATACGTTCTCTGAAAGTGAAACTTTAGTTACGAAAAGTTTGTGAGTCTATTTTTGTAAGTTGTGACGTTTAACTACTACGATAGAAGCGATACAAGGAGTTGCAAGATCGCTCATGTTTATTAACGCGAAGTTTCTACTGTATCCACACATGGCATATACTGAAAACGACGCATACGAAATCATGCGTCACATAATTATAGTATGATGTTACTTTTAATTGCAAATATTCAACATAATTATTCATATACACACATCATCAATTGTGAAGCCTTATATGATGATCCGCCATCGTCTTTATTTCCGCCTTATCTTATTTCCATTCTGTATAATCATAGATCTATGATTAAATCATCAGTTTAATCAAAAGTCTAATAAAAGCTTCATAACAAGCTAGTTAAATTTTAAATATGTTTGAAGTGCAGGAAAATATGTTGTCGGTCACGTTTGTGAACCTGACGCAAATCGTGAATAAACATAATGAAAGGAGTATATGTTATATATAAGTAATAGTATAAGAGTGAGCGTGAGTAATTCAATATGTTCCATCGTTTCACGATGTATTATTTGTGACTGTACATACATAAATTTGTTTATTTAACCATTATTTTTGCTTTACAACATTGTAAAGAAACATTTCTTGCTCTTTTGTATCATTTTACAAGGAAACCCACACAAGTGTCCACTTCCGACTTTCATTAATTTGTAAAATGTTGTTCTTTAGATCAAAATAACAAATAAGTATTTTTTTATATGTGCCCTTTCGCAAGTTTAGTTAATAAAACATTTTTTTTTTTCAATATTTCCCTATTTCTTATTTTTCAAATTGTAAAATTTGTTAATAACGAAATTAAACTATTTCAATATGAATTCAATATTCACTATATATGATAAAGTTATTTTATGATATATCATTTTCAAAGAAAAATTATAAACTCTTATATACGCATGTGCTATCCATACCCGTTCGTACGCAGCACGTATTCTACTTATATTTTTCCTTACAGGAAATGACGATAGAGACAAACTAATTTCTGAATTAAATGACGAAAGTTTTTATCACGTATAGTCGGCGAAATGTTTATGTATCACTTCAATATGTAATAAAGTCATTGTATGAAGATATGAAAACGAATTTTTTTAAATTGCGCGAACGAAATGACACATATTTCTGTGTATATTGGCGATAATACATGTAATGTATTGTAGTCTATCTATGCAGTCTATCTATTGATAATTTTAAAATTGTGTGTTTAAAATAGACATGCCTTGTGCGAAGTGTGATGTTCATCTGCCAAAGATACTTTATTATTTATATAAATAACATTAAGTAATTATATTTCTTATTATTGTTTTTCGTTATTGTCGGATTTAAACTTTGTTATACATAGTTTCCTTCTCCAATATGTGATAAATGCAAGAAAACATTCTTGTCGCTGTTGTATGATCTTTCCTTGATCAGAGATATTCTGATAATAATCAGTCCAAATATATTGATAGAGGAAGAATAATAGAAATACTTCGTGAGAGGCAAGGAAAAGCTCATGGAAATCTGCCAGTTACAACAGAATACAATCAGCCCACAACTTCTAGTGAAGGACAAGTCCTCAACAGAGGTACTGACATTAATCGATCCAGAGATGTTGATAGAGGAATATTAATACAAATGGTGCATGAGAGGCAAGAAAGAGCTTGTGAAAATGAAGAACATATGGAGAAATAACGAATAAATATAAAGAGAAAAAAAAATTTATAATTATAAATATTTATGCGAAGGATAGAGTAAAAAATATGAAAATTTTATAATTAAGTTTTTATTTTTCTCTATCATCAATAAGGAAAGACAAAAAACAACTTTACTCAATTATCAATCAGGATCATTATTTATCAATAAGGAAGACAAGGAAAACAATAAAAATATTTAATATTCACATAATGAATTATATGATTGTAACAATTATGAAATTGTAACAAATGCGTGCTGTATTTATTGAAAATATTTTTTTCTATCTCTTATAGTTTTTATTATATTTGAATGAAAAAACTGATTTTTTTCAAAGGGATATTTCACCCCCTAAACTTACGAAAGGACACATATAAAAAAATACATATCATGTTATTTTGATCTAAAGAACTACATTACAAATTTATGAAAATCGGAGGCGGATATTTGTGTGGATTTCTTTCTTAGTGAAAAAGTCGTGTAATACAGATATCAAAAGATTTTGCCCATATATTACATAATGTTATTCTATTGGATAGTTGTTATCTACTGAAACACGATTTCACGAAGTCAGTACAAAATTTCATAAATATATTGCATTTAATAATAAAGCAATATTATTCTTTGAATTATGATTAATTATATTTCAAAAACATGTATGTATATACAATGTTTATAACTTTTAAGGTAAAATGTTCAATCCGCTGAACATAATAATGCTGCTATACGCAGTATTTACATCTTTAAATTTTCCTGAAACTCCAATTACAAATTTTGAAATGGAGATAAAAGGTAAAATAGAAACCATATTACAACAAATGTATGAGAACAAATATGAAATAGAAGAAGAAGAGTGTCTCTCATTACAAATGATAAAATGGAAGTAAAAGGAAAAATAGAAACTATATTACAACAAATGTATGAGAACAAATATGAAATATTTTAATTTTGAATTTAATTACTGAAAGTTCACAGGTTCGAGATTACGGATAAGAATATTGATTTCATTAAAGCGGTTCCATGTATACGTATGATGATCATAAAAAAAAGTTGGCCCTAAAAAATCTGTAAATGCGATTTCGTATACAAATGATAAAATGGACGTAAAAGGAAAAATAGAAACTATGCTACAACAAATGAAACGAGAACAATGTAATGAGAACAAATATAAAATAGAAGAGTCTTTTGATTTCCAAAATTTATTCGACTTTATGCTTGCGATACTATTTTAAAATTGCGATACTATTTTAAAATTGCAATATTTAACGCACTATCAGTTTTTATCATCAAAGTTTAGAAACTTAATGAAATATGCATGGTATAAAAGTGGTTATATAGTAGAAAAACATCAGAATTTGTAACAGCTATAAATATTTGTTTTAAAAAAAATCTAATAAAGCAACATGCGATATTTGCGGCGATAGTGCTGTAATTACATGTGTTTGGTGTAAGAAATCATTTTGTATTCAACAAGCGCAGTTAGTCACCGTTTCGTGTCGCGATTATATTGTAACAACTCATAAAAACGCACGTCCATGCGCCTGAGGGAAATTGGACAATCTTTCGTCATTATGATACAAGACTAGCATTCCTCCCTTACATTTTGTATGCAATTTGATAGTAGATCCGCTAAAACACGAAATCGCATTTATAGATTTTTTAGGACCAATATTTCTTTTATGATCATCATAAGTATACATGGAACCGCTTTAATGAAATCAATATTCTTATTCGTAATCTCGAGCCTGTAAACTTTCAGTAATTAAATCCAAAATTAAAATATATTTCTACTCCCATTACAAATGATGAAATAGAGATAAAAGGAAAAATAGAAACCAACCTAAAACAAATATATGAGAACAAATATGAAATAGCAAAAGAAGAATTTCTCTCATTACAAATAATGAAATGGAAGTAAAAGGAAAAATAGAAACTATGCTACAACAAATGTACGAGAACAAATATGAAATAGAAGAAGAAGATTCTTGATTCCCAAAATTCATTCGACATACCGGAAGCGGAAGTAATAATAAATGAAGAAGAAGAAGATACGGAAAACGAACGAAATAATGTGTCAGACCGTTAGATGTGTATGATTTGGGTGTATATCAGTTGGACACGGGGCAACTGGACACAGTCCAATCACAAGTCGCTATTCCAAGGGACCCTACAAATGTCTCTAATCACACGGTGCTGTGATTGGCTGTGTCCAAATGCACCGTGTCCAAGTGCACCGCTCCCGTATGATTTCCGTTTATAGAAAAACTTTATAAAACATTTCTCGGATACGGTATTGTTTTTAGATTTGGAAATAGAACTTTATGCTCGCGATTACTATTTTAAAATTGCAATCTTTAACACACTATCAATTTTCGCCATCAAAGTTTAGAAATTTAATCAAATATGTATGGTATAAAAGCGGTTATATAGAAGAAAAACCATCAGAATTTGAAACACCTATAAACTTTTGTTCCAAAAAGAAATCTAATAAAGCAACATGCGATATTTGTAGCGATATTGCTACGCGCTTTGCGCGTGCACTTGGCGCGAGACATTACAATGTCTCTTGATAATTACATACGCTTAATATAAGAAATCACTTTATATTTAACATTTCTTTCATGATCATCATATGTTCAATATGTATGAACTATAAATATTATAATGTATGTACATACAATGTTTATAACTTTTAAGATAAAATGTTCAATCCGCTGAACGTAGTAATGCTGCTATACGCAGTATAGCAGTATTTACATCTTTAAATTTGCCTGAAACTCCCACTACAAATGATGAAATGGAAGTAAAAGGAAAAATAGAAACCAAATTACAACAAATGTATGAGAACAAATTTGAATTAGAAGAAGAAAATCACAAATGATTAAATGGAAATAAAAAGAAACATCGAAACCATGCGTATGAACATATGTGTATAATCTATTTTTATCTTTTCCCACGTGTGTGTGTGTGTGTGTGTGTGTGTGTGTATGAATCCAAATAAAATCCTATATTACAAAATCTTTTCATTTACATTCTTTTTTCATTCTTTCTTTCATATAATTATTTTTTATCAAAGATTATTTATCTCAATCTTGAAAAGCTATTTATATTATTGAATATATATTTGTATATATATTTTATTTTCAGTGTACTATGAATTAAATAAATAATGATCCTATGATGTGCTCCAATAAAATGAGGGAAAATATGGCAATGAAATCCAGTCGCGATTATTAGTGCGAATAGTAAACTATGGGAGAATAATACTCTCTTACAGTATTAATGCAATATTAACGCTGAATATTTTTTCCAGACTTGTAACGTACGCGGCGAATTTACTTTCCACGTCAGACAAATTCTTTTATTTTGAATTATGCAAATTGATCCTAATACACTATTTCCTATTTCAATCATACACTGTATAGTTTTCTTTATTCTTATATGATGTTAACAATGATTTTGAAAAAGTATTAAAACATTATTGTTATTATATAAGAATAAAGAAAAGTATATAGTTCATAATTGAAATAGGAGATGAAGTATAAGGATTAATTTAATAATTTAAGATAAAAGAGTTGGTCTGACATGAAAGGTAAATTCGCCGCGTACGTTGTATTAAATAAAATATATATTAAGTCCTGAAAAAATATTCGGCGCATGCGTTAACACTGTCAGTATTATCCTCGCATCAGTATTCTCTATCCGTATTATCCTCATTTAATATTCGCACTAATATCGCAAATAGTTAAAATGCACTATTCTCGAGTTACATTGTAACCGATATATAAATGCAACAGTAATATACGTATCACACAATGGCTGTGTTCCAAAACTACTGCCAACGTTGAAAATAGTTCAAATTATTTGTGTATATGCATGTATATATGCGTATGTGTTTTTTTATAAATTTTTAATATTTACAATGAATATTGAAGCGCAGCCAATATATATATATATATATAAAAGTCAAGCGAAAACGTCGCGTTAATAAACATAAGCGATCTTGCAATTCCGTGTATCGCTTCCGTCGTAATAGTTAACGTTACATCCTACAAATAGACTCAGAAACTTTTCATAAATAAAATTTCACTTTCGGAGAAAGTGTATATATATTTTTTTATAAAGACACAGTGTGAATATATGAGTACTGTCGTGTACAAAATAATTAGTATTATTATTCTTCTTATTGTTATATATTGAAATGTTTTATGATTATATATTCTGCACATCAGTATCGTTTCTCACTATGAGGAAATTCGAAGAGACCGTGTTACGTATATGTATCAAATGGATTGGATATATATAGCATTGCGGATATATTAAAGATGTTCCCACTTATTTTTCGAAAAATTCATATGTCGGAAAATGGCACCAATATATATATTTGGATTTAGCATAAAATATCCTTTTATTTTTTAATATACTTTTTTTAAGAAAAAAATTCTTAGATTATAAAAAAAATTGGTAAGTGATAGGAGTATATTTAAAATTTTAACACTTTTAAAAAACTAAAACGCTCAAATTGTAAAATACTTTACGTACCATTAAATTTTTATTAAGAAAATTTTTCTTATCTCTTATAACTTTGACGATCCACGCTCCGAAAGAAAAATATCGATTTTTGTTTAAAGGCATTTCACCCTCTAAAAGGCCGATAGACAAGATTTCCTTGTTAGATATTTTTCATTTTGATTGAAAAATAGTTCTAAGGGTTAAAATATCTTTTCAAAGAAAATTTAACTTTCTATATTTTTGCAAATATCTTTGAAAATATGAGATATTGAAAAAATATTAAATATCAAATTTTGTGATATACAATTATCTTTAATATGACTAACAATTAAAAAAAAATTTTTCAATTCCTTTACACCCTTACTTTCGAAAATTTTTATTGTTCTGTAATAAAATTTTTATTGTTCTGTAATAATAAAATAAAAAATTTTTCACAAGATCTTTATGTTAATTTACATTCGCATAATAATATCATAAAATTACAACTCTTGATACTTAATCAGTTTTTTTCTCTAAGATTCCAAAGTTTATTTAAATATGCATGGTATAAAAGCGGCTATTTATCAATACATCTTGATAAATTTACTAATCCAGTTGAATTTTGCTCTTTAAGAAGTAGAAGAAAATTCTAAAATGTAGCGTTGTTTATGGTAAACAGGCATTTCTTCAATATCTTCTATGCTTTTAGAAGTATTAGCAAAAATATGGAAAATTTTATTTTCTCTACAGAAGTGTTTTCATCTTTAGAACTGTTCAGCCGAAATGAAAAGCCAAGTAATTAGGTTCATATATATTTTATTTCTGCAAAAGTTTAAATTTGTTTAAACTCTCGGTTTCGCTAATCGCCCTTACAAATATCATTGCCCGAAGAGAAAGCCGCGGTCTTTTCAGATCGACAATTAAAAATCAGGCGTCGATGATGATGATAATCGACGCGTCGAAAGCAAAGAGTGATCTCCCTTCGTTTTCCATTACGATTACACACAAACAACCCGTGATTTTTCTCGTGACATATATACACTGAGGAGAAAAATATCTGAATATTTCTTTGTGGAATATAGTTTATTTTTACGAAATATAATTTATTTCTATGAACCAAAGTTATTATTTAGTTATTATTTAGTTATTTTTCCATGAAAAAATTTAAGATAAAAATATCCCACAAACAAATTTCCCATTTTTTCCCAAGTGTACACTCTGAAAAAGAAATACTTGAAAATTTATTTGCGGGATATAAAGTTTATTTTTACGAAATAAAGTTCTGTAAAGGAAAGTTTATTTCCGTGGAAGAAACTGTTATCCCACAAATACGTTTCAGAGCATTTTCTTTTTAGTGTATACTGAAAAAGAAATGCTTGAAAATTTTGTTGTGAGATAAAAGTTTATTTCGCAGAAGTAAATTTTATTTCACAGAAATAAATTGTGTCCCAAATAGATTATCAAGTATTTCTTTTTCAGTTTAGTGTCAATTTTTTCGGAGCAATGACTCTCATCTGATATCGCGAAGTGCCGGCTAACTTGAAACGGGCAACACTTTTATGCCGTTTGTTCGTCCATTCGCTCGTTACATCAGCAAATCAGTCTTACACCTTCGTGCAAAATGCGATAGCCCACAATTTACACCGCGCGTTTAACTTTACACGTGGCTGTCTCTCATTCTCACGTGACCCTTTGGTTACTTCTCTTTTCTTCTCCTTCTTTTCTTTCTTTTTTTTTACCATCAAAGCAGAGGGATGCATGGTGGATGCACGACTCGGAGGAGGATGGTGGGAAAGTTTTCTGGACGGGATTCTGTCTCTTCCCCCTTAAACCATTAACCGGTTCGATACCATCATTTAGTTTGTTAAGAGGCGAGGACGAGTTGAACTCGTCGTCGTAGTTCCATCGCCTCTCATTTCAAAAAGAAAAGAGAAAGGAAAAATGGCGACGCCTCGCTTGAATCTTTCCTTCGTCACGAAATCATCAAGGTGAGGATCGGGGTTCCTCCCTTGGTGGAGTTTCTCTCCAAATTGAACTTTTTTCTAACGAAATGAGATGTCAATTCACGTGATTTTTTTTCTCCTACACTGGGTAAAGATACTTGAAAATTTATTTTTGGGTTATGAAGTTTATTTCTGTGCAATAAAGTTTATTTCTATGGAATAAAGTTTATTTCTACGAATAAACTTTATATTCCATACAAAAAATTATTTTCAAGTGTTCCTTTCTTAGTATAGTAGTCTTCGAATTTCTACCAAATAGTCTTGCGATCCTTACTTTCCAATCATTCCGAGAACTTAAGAAAATCCCTTGTTTTACAGATTCTGACGTGATGAGATTACGCAAAGTAATAAGAACTCTCATACTGTAAATGCTATCTTTAACTCAGATCCTTTGTTCCGCGAGAAAATAATTAATTAAATATGTATCGAGCCGGCGAAATTTTTTGTCAAAACGAGAGAAAGTCCCTGTTTCTTCGTATCAAATTATATATTTACGTACATAAATGTATGTATATGTATATATATATACACACACATATACACACACATATACACACACAACATTGAATTTTGTCAGTAGGGAGATCGCGCGCGCATAATTTATACTATATAATATATACAACATATAATCGCGCGTGCAAACGTATAAAAATACATAAAAATTTTCCACCGCAAGCAGCCAATTCCGCCGTAAAAAAAAAGAGAAAAAAGTATCAGTTATTCACCTCTCATCTCGAGAAAGAGGCGATTCTGTATCATGAAACTTTATTGAAAAACGAAATCAATGCGCTTCAATCGCAAATTTCATCTATGCTTCGGGCGCGAGAGAGAAAGAAAGAGAGAATCTCACCCCTTCCGACAAAACATTCAATTCGCCCGATTAAAGGATCACCGCGTTTCTTGCGAGCAAACCGCGAGGAGATTTCCGACTGCGATTTGGCACTTTCGTGCCGAACGCCAAAACGGCAAAACGGACGTGTATCCCCGTATAATTCCGTGCGACATCTCTCTCCCTCACTGCTGACCCGCCCGAAGAAAAGCAAGAAACGAGCGTCCTTAATCTAAGTTCCAACGGCAATCACACTCACTTCTTTTTCTCATAATCACTTCGTAACTTTTAATATCACAATACCGTCAGCGGGTCTCTGATCGCGTTGCGAAAAGCGACCGATGACAGAAGCGAACTACTAATTCAAAGGCGCAGAAAAAAGAAAGAAGCAAAGCGAAAAGAAGGATCGCGCCTGGATAAAGAAGTGAAAAACGCGAACGCGAACGGATATCGACCGGAACGCATGGAAAAGCAACAATACGTACGATAGTCAAACGTATAATAGTAATAATCATGATGATAATATAATAATATTAATAATAATAATAATAATAAACGATACATATAGACTGCAGCCAAGACGATAATAACGGTTGAACATCAAGCTTTCTTTTTAACCCGACTACGTTTTGTCCTTTCCAGAGTTTTGCCGAACGACCAGCCCGAGCCGAACTCGTCGCCGGTAATTTGCAAAAGTGTGCTGGAAACACTACAAAGTGAAGCTCAAAGCGGTACAATTTCGAGAGACGGACTAATTATGCATTGGGAGAGGACTTATAGTTTACTTATCTAATCTAGCGAACATACATAATGCATACGTCATTCTTTTGCATACGGCTTTCTATGATTATCTTTTTTTATACGTACATATATATATATATATATATATATATATATATATATATATGTTACGCGATAACGACTTGTTTTTTGTTCGCTTACTAGCGAGTTGAGACGCGTCCCGAGGCGATCGAAGTTGTACCACTTTGCTCTCCGCCAATCTCTTCGTCGCGGTTCCGTTCGGAGGTCTTAATCTCTGCTGATATCACGAACGGAAAGTCTGTGTGTCATGCGTGTTGAACATCACAGAAACCCATCGAATACGAATAATTATTTCGGTCAATCTGACCGAAATAATTCGTATTCGCGCGGGATCGCGGTGAAGCGAAATTCTAAAACGCGACAGGATACTGTAACGACGGGGTTTCGGGACTTGGTCCAGGCAAAAGAATTGAACCGGCCTGCAGAATTGAAAACTGAAAGTGCGCTGCCTTTGTCGCAGCGAGATACGACGGCTTAAACGAACTGTTCGAGACAATTGTCGCGAGCGTTAACGTATTCGTGTGTCCGATACCACGAGAGAATAGATATTATTATAATTTAATATGAGATTTTTCATGGCGACTGTGCCACAAAGGCAGAGAACAACGAGGGGGAAGATCGTGAGATGGAATGACGGGATGGACTGGACTTCATCATCTACCAAACCGACGTGCAAGACACCCCGGAAAAATGCACATCGCGAGCACACCGTCAGAATCTTTTCCGTTACTTAAAGGGAATAGATTCTCTTGCTGAAAAATTGAAAGTTCAAAAACCACTTTCTCGAGGAAAGTGTCTTCCACGATTCCCGAAGTGGAGAAGATTCTCTGAGAGAAGAAGCATCTCTCAGAACGCAAAGATGTGAGTTGTTGTTCAAGCTCTGTGTGTTCAATTCCTAATTATCCAAATGATTCGACCACAATGAAGCGACAACAATCATACCTCGTGTTCATTTTTCCAGGCTATCTCGCGGAATTTCTGTAAAGGGTCATTAGTGAAAAATACGTTGCCACATTGGTTCCAAATATGATCATCCACATTCAATGAAAAAGCAGACGACGCGCGCGAGCTCTCGTGCCGAGAGCGGCGCGCGCGTCCTCAAAAGATCGTCACTAAACATCCGACGCGACTATAGCTACCTGACTACGATTAATCAGTAAAACGCGCGCTCTAAAACTAATCATATACGCTACGTATCACGTGAAATTTGTTAAAAGTCTTATAATCACATATCTTCTTCGAAAAAACGAAGGCGCGAGCCTCTCCTCGCGATAGATCTGCTACTGCCAGAACTTGTCTCGCGCTATCACAATTATCGAACGCATAGGCCTCTCCCCGAATATAATATTGCAAAAGTGACAGCAGAACAAAACCAAAGAGTCGTTATATCGCGGTCGTGTTGTCGTTAACCCTTCAATCGATTCGCCCCTCAACGCCAAGGACGAGCTGGACTTACCGTTACTACCGTGCCGGTCGCGAAAACTTCAGCTTCGCGAATCCTCACATCTCAAAGTTGTTAGTTACCTTAAATTCAACAGTCTCTCGACCTCGCGAATGTAAAACTCTCGCAAAAGCTCTCAAGAGCTCTCGTATCCCCCGAATCTAGTTGCTCGACTCGTCGCCCGAACTGAAAGATCGTGCTGACCCTAGAGATTTGGGCTCCGAATTCGGAACGTCTCGACGTTCTACTACTCGCTACGCTCCCGACGAATATTCGAGCTCTCCGAAACGTTGAAGATCCTGCAGATTCTCAGACCTGAGGATGCTCACTTTCTTCGCGCTTCCTCGACTTCTTCAAACAACTAGATCCGTGGATACACCCGAGCGCTTGAGTCTCTATACTATTATTATTAGATCTCGATTGCCCTACGTAAAATCGAAGTTTCCTTCCGTTGCTCCAAGAGAGAACGGCCGCGTCTAAACTGCGACCGCGCTCCGACGAGGAGTCGGCGCTTCTGCACACTCCTAGTTGCCTTGTTCGTCGAATTAAATTCTAAACGCAAAAATCCACAATTGCTGCCGCGCATTCCGCCGGAATGCCGCTCGCGTTCATAGGGCTCGCGCGATTAAAGGGTTAAACGCAACATACCGCATCAACATGGCGACGGTGTTCAGACGCCTGGAGGATTCGCGTCGCCGCTTCCGCTGTCTAGATTCCTCTTCCTGGTCTCCCGGCATCGTCCGGTTGACATGCTCTCACACAGGGCGACAGACTGACAAAAAATGGCCGTTTACGCTCGTCGGCGCAACGGGAGCTCATGAACTTACAAAATCATCCGGCTCTGCATCCGGCGACACAGAGACCTCTCAATGGGCCTGCTGGTAGGACCTGTAGAGCTTCTTCTTCTGCAGAGTGAAGTCCCTGCTGATCATGATAGTGCCACCGCGCGTGAGATTTCTGCAAGAGGCACGAATCGAACAATTAAGTCTTCCGATGCTTGGATTATTATCAGAAGAGATCATCATATTGCAACGCGCGATATTCGTGGGAACAAACGATAAGATAGAGGATATAGTCATTGAGGTGGAATCTAATCATACGATCTGGACATGAGGTAGGCGATATCGTAATAATAATACTTTGTGATGGCATTTCATTTCGCTCCGCAATGACTCGAAATAGCGACAGCTGATTGTGCAACAGTATCGTGATATCGTTAGAACAGTCTGGGATGGTGTAGAATAACACACGGAATATATATATGGAATGCTTTATCTCTCCAGATAACAGTTCCGCACAGAACGGTAGTTTCCAGGCGAATTAAACTGAATCAACATCGAGAGCGACGCGAAGTACGAAAAGTCTTAGCCGCGAGATTTCATGCGGCATATGCTTACTTTAAGAACTGAGGTAGCAGGATATGCCAAGACGTGTGGTCCTGCTTCAGCGTGAGATAAAGCTCGAAGGTCGACACAGCGCTGGGATCGCACTGTATTTTCGAGAGCTTGCGACACACGCTGTCCGTCTCGAAACTGATGAACAGCGTGCAGCCTCTGTAACAAACAAGTCACACACACACATATACACACGTTAATTTCTCGTTAAGCAACGAGTAGAACTTCAGAGTATAATTTGGAACAATATTTAAACCATGAACATGCATTTTATTCTCACAGAGAATCTTAAAACTTAATCTACAATGTGTTCTTTGCTTTCTGTCACTTGTTCTGCCTTTTCCTGAGTTAAGACTTAAGGCTTTGAGGCGAGAAGAGATAACGAGAAAGAGACGGGAAGCAAAGAACGCATTGTAGATCATGCTTGGAGGTCTCAGTGAAGGAACATTTCTCGAATTAATTTACCAACTCGACATTATCATCCACGATCGTTATTAGCTAAAAAAACAACTCAGAAGAGAAGCTTCGCTGTCTCCAAATGGACACTTGTTGCGCGAAATAATATTCGTTTTGACTCTGGCGAATTGTTCTGAAATTGTTTAAACTTTGTAGACTCCCCGACGAGAGCCGAGCAGCTACCAGCACTCCGTATACGAGGGAATAATGGAAAGTTCTACTCACCGGAGGCCACAAGGCTCGTTCTCTGCCATATTAAGTACGTCTTTGGCTATCTTGGGCAGCAAGTCAGCCGGCAGTAGGACCTCGCCGCAAGCCAGCTGAGCGTGCTTAGCCCTCCTAAGCTCAACTTCCAGCCTCTTGGCCAGCGCCTGGCAAGCACCGTCCAACTCGTCCGTCGCGCTTTCAGCTGTAAAAATTAATTAAATGGAATTAAGCGCGTGCTCACGACCGCCCGTCGGGCAAACGAACGCTGTCATTAAAGCGGTAAGTTGAGGAGAAAGTTGCGAGTCGATAGTTTTTCTTTTTTTTCTTTCGTCTTAGACGACTTTAGTCACTTTGGCGATTATTCTGCCAATTAAAATGCCGCCAAGTGATCGAATTAATTAAACAGTCGTTTTAAATTTGTAAATTATTTTGTCTTAATTATTATTTATTATTGTTTTATTAATTAGTTTAATTATGATTTTATTAATTGGTTTAATTATTATTAATTAGTATCTAATGTAATCAGAGCACTGTTGTTGTAGCACTAATTATTATTAATTGACACCTTGATACGTGTTATTTATTATAAAAATTGAATTTGCTTTCCAATGATATCGATTGAAATTTTTTTCCGAGTCAAATTTCCGGCGAGGAGACATCGATTTCGCGATAATCGAGACGTGTACGCGCCGACGGGTCTGGAACACTCTCGTGTGTAGTATCTCGCAAGGTACACAAGTGTATGAAGTGTGAATCTGACGTAATCTTAGAACAACATTTATCAACGAATATCTTGGGAACACGAGAGTAATCAAGAGTTTCAGCGAGATGGAAAACATGTTTTGTCACGCGACGATTAATTTTATCTATTTCGAGTTCCGCTTGAGAATCGAACATCATCTCCATTTCAATCTCATCTCGACGCACCGTCGGAGCATTCGACTCCAGTCAAGCTCTAAGTATCACTCAATTTCGAATTTGTGTTAATTTTATCGCAGCTGTGAGCCCCGATAAATCGAGCGCTGAGCTCATCATTTTATCCACCATTAAACTGAACGCCTTGTAAGTGTAACGTAACAAAGAAGTATCGTCAGAAAAAAAGACGCTGACGCAACACACACACACATACACACATATATACTCCCCGACTGCTCAGTGCTCACAATGGACGTTTCCACTTTTCGATCTGACATCAATTAATTCGCGACCATCAAAGGGATATCTGAGTTAATGCATTTGATTTTCCGTCGTGTTACTTAGTCATCATTCTCGAACTTGCTTCATCCATTGTTCCTAGTAACCGGCGGAGACCAGGTGAGGTCGCCGGAAACGTATGAACTCGTTTGACCTCGATTTTTCTTTATCTTTGTCGTCAAAGACTCGCATCTCGAAAATTTGAAAAGCGCTTCTCGTCGCACGGTATTCGTCAACGAGAAAACATCGATCGTCCCCGGCGCGAGTAAATGTTTCTGGAAATAATCCGCGATCTTGGCATCAGAATGCCGCGAGGCTCCTGTTTACGATACTGCTTTCTAACGCTAAAATCTCGCGAGAAACGCCAAATCCCGTCATTCTCCGCGTCGTTGAGCCTCGAAGTCCACCTTGTGTCCCACTCGGAGGTACGGTCAATCCGCTTCCGCGCACATTTACTAATCAGGCGCTTGTTCATTGCAGGACTGAGAACGAGTTTTGAGGGAGCCTGCATTTACAAACATGACAAGGGCAATTCGGCGAGAATCAAGCGCGTCGCGAGCAATCGTAGAACACGGGAAAGAAAAATGACAGCGAAGGGCATCCCCTCCCGTGCCTCTTCCACCTCGTACGATCGCGAGAGCGACGCTGACGCAACTGTATTTTGCGTTTCGCCAGTAAATCGCCGCGACAATGTGTGTGCCACACAAAATCGTCCCTCTTTCGGCCCCATAAGAAATGACCAGATGACATTTTGCAGGCTCGCACACGGACGGGACGTCGCGTTGCGAGCAAAAATCAGCTGACTCCAGCCGGCGTTGTCAGCTGAGAACAACGGGCTGGCTCGCTCGATCGCTGGTGGGTGAGCAGGACCGAAACGCTTGACGGGCGAGAGCGAACAATCGAAGGCGAGCCGGTGCCGGGACAGAGACAGCAAGACAGACAGAGAGAGAAAGAGAGAGAAAGAGAGAGAAAGAGGAAGAAAGAAAGAACGTTAAACGCTTACCCCTAGTGTTGCTGAAATCCACATTGACAGGACACGGCAGGACCTCCATGATTTCGTGAGGACGCCCGGCGATGGACGCACACTGGCACGGTCCTGGTGATGATCGTCGTCGTCGTCGTCGTCGTCGTCGTCGTCGTCGTCGTCGTCGTCGTTTGCTGCTGCTGCTGCTCCGCGAAACAACAGCGCGAAAGATCTCGAAGAAGATGACGACAACGGACGTGAAACGGGGAAACGAGATATACTGCTCGCGGCGTCGGAAACGATCCCCGGCTGTGAGTGATACGAGACGCAACGACTACCACGAACGACAACGGCTACGTGCTCTCGAGCGACCGTTCCGTCAGACTTTCACCTTTTCAGCTGTGTACAGAATGACAGGCTCGACCGACGCAAACACGCGAACGCCACTCGCTCGACTGATCGGCGGCCGGCCGCTGACGCGACTTATATACATACGACCCCCGTCGCGTGAGCCCGGCACCCCCGTCGGCCCGCACCACCACCGCACGACCGCCTAGCAACACCGCCTACGTGAGGTTCGACACTGTGTCCGCGCTTCGGTCGTTTCCGGCCGCGGTCGCGCCGGCCTTCGGCTGCGTTCGGCTCGCCGATATACAAGCGAGCGTGCGAGGCGATCCTCCGGAGGGGATCTATCGCTGTTGCCGGCGGCACACCGGTTTTTTTTCACCCACGACGCTCGTTTTGTTTCTTCTCCTCCTCCTCCCCCTCGTCCTCTGCAGCCGCCGCCGCCGCCGCCGCCGCCTCTTTCTCTTCTCATCTCCCGATGACTACGTGCGTTACGTCGCGCACAGTCTTTTATCGTGGCTTTTAACGCGGCACGAGAGACGCGCGTATTATGTCGGTCACAAGTGGGATCGTCATCGGGCCCCTCCGCCGTCGGTAGCGATTTTCAGCAAATAAGTAACTCGGGTAAATCTGAATATCATGCCGTGAAAGAGGCGAACCGCGGGCTCACTTCCTTTGTGACTTTGTCTCCCTCTCTCTCTTTCGCCCTCAGCCTGCCCCAAAAATTCAGAACAGCGCGTTCCCTATATTTTGCCGGGAGTCGTGCGATCAGCTGACCCTGGCTGTGTGTAGCCTAGAGTTTTACGATAAAAAGACGACGCGTGACGAAAATCACGGAGATATTTTCGTCAGAATATCCGCTCCACGTATAGCCGAGTTCATAAGTGCCTTTTTGTATTCCTTCTCGGTTCGAGAGTTACTAAACATTTTCGACGAGTTTCATTATTCATGTGTTTCTAGACGCCCACGTTTATTATTACTGTTGATTAGTCGAAAAAGCGGCCACGATGTTCTCACTCTTTTTCTTTGTCTGTTTTATTATTAGAGTGCTACCTGGGGCCGTATTCTTGACGCGTGTTCGAACTCCAAGTATGCTCTTTTTATGCCAAATTTCGTTTTCTTTATATATGAGCGTCTCGTAGAAAAACATCTTAAAAATCAGAAAGATGTACTTGGCATATATTTATGAATACGCGTCAAGAACACACAAGTCCTTAGTCTCTTTTAACTATCGTGTCCATATATCAATAGACTGATACACGTAAACTTTACAGCAAATTTAACTCGTCATTAGAAAGGCGGAAGCTAATGGATTTTTTTCTTTTTTCAGTTGTTATTTTTATAATTTCTCAAACCCTATATAAATTTCTCATGATTTTATGGAATTTAATAAGCTAAAAGAATGCTTAAGATATTATAAAAATTTAAAGAGAACGAAATGGAATATGTGGGGTCTCTCAGACTCTACCCTTGCGAGACGACAGGTTGAGTATATTAAATCACGAAATCCAGCAACGTTGAATTTCTCATGATTGATCAGATTGCGTTCATATCTATCGCATGAAATGACGAAATAGAAATACAGAAAAAAATTATCAAAATTTGTCGCAAACATCATGTTAAGTGTAATATAAAGATCTGAGTGCAACTTTTAGTAAATTTGTTTCCAATACAAAAAATTGTTGTATGATGTAAACTTAACAATCGCTTCGATAGAATATATTTCATGAATGTAATTAAAAGAATTGTAAAGTTTCCATCATCGATCGCGTCTCATCTCGTGTAGGACGGAAAATCACGATGATTTTGGCCCAAAGTCAAAATAACGAAGGGAAAATGGGGATCGAATCGTGATTGACAAGTTTTTTTTAGTCATTATCTCATCATTTTGACCTCATCGTAGTTTTGTGTCTTGCACGTCTGGCACGTCGTGATAATTATGAAAATCTATCTGGGTTCATTGAATCGTATCACTATCTGTCGGCTATTTGCAACACATGAGCGAAACCTCTTTACTGACTCCAACGAAACGTCAAACTTATAGTATCAGCTGCCGCTTTGAAACGTCGTTGCCGCTTTCCCGATTAATCAACAGTCGCGACGGACGCGTATCTAGAAACGAACGCGTCTGCTGGTCGAAAATGTTTAATAACTCTCGATCTGGGGAACAGTAAAAGCATTTATGAACACTCCAATGTACACACACGGGAGAGACATAACGTAACGGCGACGAGCGCTCGAAAAGCAACCGTAAAATCTCGCACGTAGAAGCCGATTAAAAGGACCGAGCGTGTTGCGTAAAACGTGTAAGGTCTCGGTGTCAGTTCGTTAGAAAGCTCTCGGCAACGCGTACGTGCACGCGCGAGCCGCGATCGAGCCGACTTCTCCTCTATCGACCGTACAAAAGACACTTTAAACCTTGGCACGTATCTCTTAACTGCAGAAAGAGGACCCGGATTTTGCGGCCCGGCCGGCTGGCCGGTCGGTCGGTCGGTCGGTCTCGGAGCGCATCTTCAAGTCGCCCTGCTTGCCACTGCTGTTGCTGCTGCTCCTCCTGTGAGAGTAGGGACACGTCGAGAGTACAAGGGAGTCCTCGACGAGTAGGATTTGCCGGCGACGCTTATGATTCCATGTGTATACCCACAGAAAGGACACAGATGTGCTATAAATAACTCGTTTAGGTAATCATCTCTCGCGCCCGCATGTGTGGACACACAACACGCTCGATCACGTTGTCGAGAAGCTTTGTAAGAAGGAGTTACTTTGTGGACGTTGATACGCAATAATTCCATGTTATTCCAATTGTCTACAACGTCGGTAGAAATTATCGTACAAAATCGTTGGCCGCGGCACCAATTTCTAGAAACAAAGGGAAACCAAAGCTGGATACAAGAATTAATCAATTTCAGATCAAGTCAAAGACTTAAGAGTTTAATAGACTTGTCAAGACTCTTGATTTATCTAAAATAGATGTAAATTCTATTCGAAAACATTAAAAATTATTCCCTTTTTTTCTAAGAACATACATTAAAGTAATGATTTTAAAAAGGAATTATTTTGCATTTTGAAAAAAAATTTATTAGATATATATTGATACGTAATAATTTCATGTTACTTTAATTATTCACAATGCTGGTAAAAATTATCGTATAAATCGTTAGCTGCGGCTGCAATTTCCAGAAACAAAGAGAAACGAAAGCTGGATGCAAAAATTAATGTCCTTTTGGTTCTACTGATATTCAATCAATTCCATATCAAAAGCCTTTAAGAGTTCAACAAATTCTTAAAAGCTCTTGATTTATCTGAACTGAATGTAAATCCTGTTGAAAGACATTAAAAATTATTCCCTTTTTGTCCAAAAACATGAAAGTAATAATTTTAAAAAGAAATTTACTTTGTATACGTTTGATACGCAATAATTTCATGTTACTCTAAGTATCCGCGGTGCCGATAAAAATTATCGTACAATCGTTATCCGCAGTTCCAATTTCCAGAAACAAAAGGACACGAAAGCTGGATGTAAAAATTAATTTTGGTTCTATTGATATTCAATACCTTTTGGTTCTATTGATATTCAATTTCAGATCAAATCAAGGGTCTAGCAGGCTTAAAGGCTATTGATTTATTCGAGCTGAGTGCAATTCTTGCTAGAAGACTTTAGAAATCATTCCCTTCTTTTCCAAGAACACGCGTAAGAGTAATGATTTTAAGTTTAATTCTCGATAATTTATGTCTGCGTGAAATGTGCAGCTTGTACTACTTAATAATACGTCGGCGGTGCACATATAGTCGGTGGCACGATGACGCGACCGGTCGTGAAATGCAAAAAGTCTCGCGGCTACTTTTCATCGCTCCGCAGACGTGTAATATCCAATCTGACACACGCCGTTTGTCTAAAATCTATTTCTACACACCGCTCCGTTTCTCCACCTATAATAAGTCACTCCGTCATACCTGTTACGAAACAGATGTCGTTCGCCCTCACATCGACAGCAATGATTTTTCCGTTGTTGATAAATAGCCCGCGCATGAAGTAGCGATATTTTTATCGGTATAATCCGCGCGAGACGAGGAGACGTTAGGTCGCGCGAGAGGAGGATTTATGTAATGGTAGTCGCGAGATTACGCTCCCGCCCGTTTATACGTGCCGTTAGTTTTAATACGAAGGGGGGGGGGGTCGTGCTTTCGGATAATTAGCGGATTTGTCCAACGTACGTGTTTCGATGCACGACGGCGAGAGCTCCGCGCTCGCTTCGCAAATATTCACCGCGTGCATGATAAATGTACACCGCGGAGGAACGTATGGAGAGATAAAAGATGCAACGAGAAAAGAAAATAAGTAACGGGGGCATAACGTGTCTTTTTCTTCTGCTCCTCATTTTTTTATGTTCCATATTCCCCTGGTTTGTTTCACTTTAAAAAAAGAGTCGCGGCTAATTTGCAAAGTCATTTAAAATGTAAATGCGAGATGTATCCGTTACATCGTTAAATTCTGCGCGCTTATGCGAATTTCAGGTCTACGAGTGTGAAGAGAAAAGGATAAAGGATTCGCGAGGATGCTTCCGCAGTAATGTACCTGACGTACGTGACACGCAGACCTGGACTGATCCGGGGGTCTGCGGATTCGAGGTGATGTGGGGACCCAACGACCCACAGAGAACACCAGATCCGTGCTAGGAGTCCGCAACAACGGGGATCGGTGCATCTGGGAATCTGTGAAAGTAACGGTCTACAAATTCAAAAGATCTGCGCGTGCAGCGATCCATAAAGATCCAAGAGTCCCTCGAACGAAATGCTCTCGCCGCGTCCACGATCTATAAATCCAGCAAACCATATCGCGTCGAGGATCTGTAAACCGCGATTATCACGTGTATGCGTTGCTCTCACACGCTCTCTTATCGTACGTTTAAATATCGTTATCTGAATTGCAGGTGGAGGAGAGCAGCCGCGGAGAGTGTCGGCGGCGGTGGCGAAATAAGAGAGAATCCCACGATCGCATTAAGCGCCGGGAATGGATAACCGCGCGCAGGTGGAGGTCCGCAATTAATCCGCGAGGATCCACCGAGAAGAGCCTTCGTGCTCTTCGTGCTCTCTGCGTGCACGTGAATCCGCGGCGGTGTCCACGAAGGAGATTCGCGCAACGAGGAATCCATAAATCCCGGCCCCGGGCGGCGAACGCGTGAACGAAGGCCGGATGGAACAACACGTCTTTCCGCGGACTCGGAGAATAATATCTCTATCGGAAACACCGTTTTATCTACGGCCACGCTCGCAGATCGTTCTCGTACAAACAAGCGTCCGATAAACGCTCTGCCCTCGCATCATCGCAACATCAACCTCTGCGTTAGCGGCTTGCTCGCACGCGTCAATCAAAACACATTAATTTCGCGTGTCGCGAGAGGGATCGAGTCGCGCGAATCGCGTTTTCGCAAATCACAAGATAGAAACAGAGAAAGGGAGAGAGAAAGAGAGAGAAGCCTCAGCTATGGTCGTCGCTCCACGCGCAACTCGGACGATCGATCTCTTTGTTTCGCTTACGTGGAGGCGAGTATGTGATCGCGAATAACATGACATTCGTGTTGTCTCGCTCGTTTCTCCGCTTCTCTTTTTCGTGCTGCTTTTCTCTGTCCGTTTCTCCTTCTCTCTCTTTCTCCACCTCTCTCTCTCTCTTTCTCTCTCTCTCTCTCTCTCTCTCTCTCTCTCTCTCTCTGCGCGCTCCCTCTTTCCTTCTCTTCCCCTTCTCAGAGCCAGCGGACGATGCGCCCTCGGATTGCATCGTGCGAGCGACGACATAATCGAAGAGCTGAATTTTATTAAAAACCGGTTCGACTGGCAAAAAGCGACGAGCCCGGGGTAATCGTCAAAATGCACCGTGAAGCCTCGGCTTCTTATCATTTCGCATGCGATCAGCGTTGCCTCGCTGTATAACAATTATACGGGGTGAGCTTTGGGCGAGCGAGCGCATGCATACAGAGCGCATTAATCCCGTGGGATTACTCGAGAAATTGCGGAAAGTAAAGTAAAGCGCGAGAGAGACTCGATGTAGGCTATACACGCGGAGAGGATATTACAGTTGCTTTCCATTTAAATTCTTTTCTCCCAATTTCACTGTGCTTTTAGATATAGACTGTCAGTGAGAGGTCCATCTCGCTAAGAAACGTAGTAAATTCCGCTAGAAACGTAGCAAGTGTTTCAGTAGCACGCTGCAATTCCTAAAACATATAAGTGGCACAAATGAAATGAAAGGATAGAGGTGAATTACTGCAGAATGTCGATCTATTCAGATCCATCTACAATGGGATTGGCAGTAGGCAGTGAAACGTAAGCAGTAAGCAAATTGACCAACCGCGGTCGATCACTACAAGAATAATCGACTACGGTTCGTCAATAGTTTGCCTACTGCTTACGTTCTACTGCCTACTGCCAGTCCCATTGTAGACGGATCTTTCCTCGACTACTAGGTGTTCTACAGTAACTTCTCCTATAAAATTCCCCCCGCGTGCCCGTATATGAGGCGGAATATAATCTTTATTATGTACCGATCCATTATGCAGAGGCACCTTTCGCGCGCGACGTTACTCGCTACGTGGAGATAATGCGAGTTTGTTGACATCTTATCGTCGCCGATCATTAGGAAGCGAGCGTAGAGCGTGCCGCTTCGAATCGCCGGCACGTGTTGCCGAGATATGCAGTCTCGTAACGCGCGTGACAGAAATCCGGTACATCGGATCAGGATTTATCGCCTAAATCTGCGACGTGTAACACAGAGGAGGGTAGAAGCGGAAGTTTCACCCCTCGCCTCAGGGCGAATACACGCGCGCCTTCTTAAAAGGCACCCCTCGTGCACGGACGTCCCGCGTAGAGGGAGAGGGGAAAGAAACGAATTCGGAAAAATAATTCGGCGCTCGACGTTGCTTCACGCTCGAGGAGGAGCGGATAAAGATCGGGGGCAGTGGCGGCGGTAGGCGGTCCGCATCGGCGAGGAACGGTAGTCGATAAATATGATATCGTGATTAATACAGCCGGCGATTAGTAACATTAATAGAAACGCGATACACACACGCACGGCAACGTTACATAACGTGCCGGCGAGTGAGCGTGCAACATAATCGTCGTTGCGCGTGGATCTAGAAAAATCGATCGTGTAACGCACGCACGTATGTGTGTGTGTGTATGCGCGCATGTCTGTGCGTGTGACTCGCATAAGTTATAAATATATACGTGTAATGAATAGAGAAACTCGCGTTTGGCATCGCGAGAGGCTGGCTGCGACCACGCGAGTCACTCTTTTACGCTAAGAGAAAAAATATCTGAAAGAATAATAAATATTTCTGCAATGTACGTACTATTGACATATTTACATGTATTTACTTAAATCTAAATTGTTTTATATTGGAATAGAATAAGCAATTGTGCTTTTATGAGACACTTAAATTTTCCTTAAGATTTTAAGAGAATGCATCTTCTCTCTTGATTTCTTAATATTGTTGATTTTCTTGATTTCTTGATATTAATTTAATTAATAATCTTATTTTTAATTTTCTTATTCGGGAAATATATATATTCTTAGTACCCGTCGGACAAATATCTTTTATTTCTTAGATACTTTTTCTCTCGGCGTACGGCTCTTTCTCCTCGCCTCGCTTCGCCTCGTCCCGCGATGGCGAACCGAAGGGGCCGCGAAGAGGGCGGGAGGAGTGGACGGGGAGGGTCGGTAACAATTACAAGTAACTTGCAGATGTGTGCGGAAGCGCGAATAATGCGACCGGTTGGTTTAGCGCTTTTACGTGTGCGTAATCGCAAATAAAGCGACCCGCCGTTCGTTTCGACACATACACGTACATATGTATACACACGCGCGCGCGCGTACACACACACACGCATCATATGACGACGCGAGTGTGTGTACAACGACTCGCATTGAATAATTGTGCGGCTGGGTGGGGTAAGCACTTATCTGCAGAAACACGGCTTGCGAGATTCTTGCTCGCCGGAGCCTTTGATATTGTGCACGTGGCCGGCTCGATTGGCTGCAAGGATCTGTCCGATTGCGCAACTCCACCGACACACGGCCTCACGGAGATTCGTGGATTTTCTTGTCCGCGCGGATCACTGCGGGTTTGTGCAAGCAGAGACCGGTCTGACGCGCTCGTACCTGAAATATCTCTGACAATAACAAGGATATTTCAGGTACGAACGAAAGCTTTTCTCTCCACTTCGAGGTACGCCGGATACAGAAGGGTGCATCGGACGCGATGATAATGTAATTTCTTCGCAGGCGCAGGGGAGAGATATCGTAGCTACGAGAGAGCGTGTGTATGTGTCTGTGTGTGCGATGGATATAAATTGAAACAATTATCGAAATGAGAAGACGCGCGGCGGAGCTGACGTTAGTGAGATTAGCGAGACGTCCGAGTGGACGGGAATATCAAGAGGCGACAGAAAAAAGAACAAGGGGAACTCGCGGCTAAATTACAAAATCCCAATTAGAGATATAGTCCTGATGACCGAGATGCGACGTCATCGCCGTAGGTCATCCGCGCTCATTTCGAGGCTCCCGCGATTACGGAATCGAGTGAGTCAATGAACAGGGCGATAAAATGGCAATCACAAAGTGACGAGTCTGAAAAAGTGCGGAGGATGCAAGTAGAATCGCAACGCGCCGCGCTGCGCTGCGGCGAGAAACGTCGGCCGTAAATATGCGCTCGTAAAATCGCGCGCACACACGCGCAACGGCCGCGCGCGTACGCACACGTGTGCACACATGCGTCATGCGATTTTTCCAGCGATAAAGCGGCTCGCCGCGTATGTATGTATATGTGCGACTACACATTTGTACTTTTATAGATTCTTTTTACGCGCGTATCTCCGCTAGAGACTCGATCATCGGGCTCGCTCGATCGACAAGAATAACACGAGAAAAAGGAGAATGCGAGAACACGATTCGTGTGCCCGTCGCAAAAACGCACCATCCAGTTTGTCGTGAGAAATTCGCGATCTCTGAAAGTTAATTTGTCTCACCGGGAGAACGTAAAGTGAATGTCACAGTAATTGAACCTTGTTCCAATGATTGAAACATTAATGACATAATTGTATTTAATATTTCTAAGAAGAACACCTTTAAGATTTCGTTAAAAGGAATATCTTTAGGTCAATTTATGATATTATTCAATGATCAATCTATCATTGAGTCTGTATTAGTAACTGTAATTAAGACCTGATGCATTTTTCAGTTCAATCACTGGTGCAATCGACATTATCTAATCCCATATAGCACAAATGTCCAAAATACATTTCAGAAACGTCCCAGAAATCTGTGATATCTTTGGGATGTTTCTGGAATGTATTTAGGATATTTGTACTGTATAGGATATCTAAATTATGATTAAAATTATGATTGATATTTTATTTATTATTATATTATTCCCGATTATTTTATTTCCTATTATTTGTCGGTCGCTGGCAAATCAAAGTTTCATATAAACTTTAATTCTACCAACAATTTATTAATTATCTATTAATAAAATTGCATAACTGTGTTTTTGTCTTGTTAGCTCGGTCACTGAAATATTTGCGTTATATTCTGTGGAACGAACAAACAAGGTGACGTGATTAGTGACACGTGAAATGATTATTTTTCTTTATTTGAAATTGCTTAAATATACTCAATAAGTTCTTATAGATCGTTGTTGCGTGACTGCGGTGTGAACGTACCCGAGAAGTAATATTGTGCCATACTCATGCAGAGGAGTAGTCCATTTTATCGGACAGCAACTTCACGAAAATTTACGTCATCCTGTTATTCGATTGTCGCTATCAGCGCGTGCTAATCATCGAGACACGTGTCGTGCAGATTGGGGATGAAAGAGCCATGGAAACATACCCCGAGTGGAACCGCGGACAAACGGCATCGCCGCGAGACGAACGATGCGTTTTGCTGGCTGAAATAATAACGTATTTTCTAACTAATACAATTCCCAGCCGAATCGCTGAAGAGAGAAATGTTACACTAAAAAGACTTTATTAGAAATCAATTAACGATAACATTTCGGCCTTGTTTTGTTACAGAGCCGGCGCGCACGAGATTGAAACACAATTGCGGCGATATCGACTTAAATATAGCGGCCGGTTAATTCTGGAATTGATCGATCGACCGTCAAGATCCTCGACTTATTGTCATTAAACTTATCTCGATCTTTGTGCAATTGACCTTAGTCGCGGCGATGGAGGGGATCAACGCGTGGTGTGGTGACCGAGGGGAGAAATTATTTTGCTCGCTTTGCTCGGCGTGTGTGCGCCTAAAGGCCAACGTACAATGAACGGAGAAACTGCTGGCCGTTGCACATTCAGGAAATATACCGAATAATAATCGATGAACGGTGAGCACGTGAATACTCATGCTGGGCATTGCGCGAGTTGCAGTGAGACCTCGAAGCATTAATATAAGACGCTGCTTGTGAAACAATCGCCGTAGAATATTTCAATGTCTCTCTAGCGGTATCTTTCTCCTACTATCTTAATCTCCACCGTACACTTTATACAGCGACTTATCTCTTGTATGTGGTTCAAAAGTGTACACATCAGAATTAATCATTCACAGTGCGATCCCCCCGATTGTTTTGAGCGCATTGAGACGATTAATTTTTTTAAATTATCCATACATGTTGGCGCTTATTCGTATCTTCAACTACGGCTGTGTGTGTATGTGTGTGTGTGTGTGTGTGTTTTGCACGTCCGTAGGAAATCACAGCGATACGTGCATTTACGTGGAGAGAAATTCATTTTATCAGAGAGCAACTTCGCGCAAATTTACGTCATTCTGTTATTCGACTTCAGGACGTCTTTTTTATTCTTTCGCAAAGAATCCATAATAATGTGATGTTTCTTATCTTTCTCGGCGGTGAAGAAAAAATTTCACTTGCTCTTATACTTTGATTGTCAGTCGACGATTGACGAAACTATTTTTTTGTTGTTTATTGTCGTTCGAATTTTCCGTTGATATCCAATTTATAGTGACAATACTCGAAAAATAGTCGAATCAATAAAATAGATTATCTATCAGTTTCTTTTGTGCTGTATGTATAAATTTTAAATTCAACTATTTTCGCAAATTGCTCAAACAGGTTGATTACACAGTTCAAAACATTCGTCTGTCTTTTTCTTGATTGTTTGTACAGTTCGCTCCTCGGCGCCGTCACTACTGGGCGCGCTCGGACAGTAATGTGGCGCCATCTAACGTTGACGGTCCCAACCAATACTTCAAACGCAGCTCGTCGTCGCTCCAGGTCACCACCTGCGTCAGTCAGTGCGTTTTGCTCCGCAATTCTTCTAACGTCAGTCACCGTGAGCAGTCGTCTCTATTTCTCCGCAGTGTATGATCGTTCTCAACGTTGGACCACATTGACGTAAGGTAATAAACCGCTGGACGAAGGCATGCTAGAGCGACCGCGGCGCGTTTATAGGTGCAATTCGCGTCCTGTTTCCACGACATGCTTCGAGTTCGCGACTGATTGCAGCACTCAGCCGTATCACCGCGTTACCTTATCCGGTAACCAGGTGATCTTCACGAAGGAATTCGTTCTCATACGCGCGCGCGGTGCGTATGTGTGTGTGTGTGTGTATGTGTGTCGCTATGCGCATACGCACGCATGTATGTGGATGTAGTTGTGTGGTTGTATACATGCGAGATGCGTGTCAACTGGCAATCCTGTTAAAGGATCATGTAAATAATGTGTGAAGCAGGTATCCCTGTTTTGTGTGTATAATGATCAAAATACTTCATAATAGATGAAACGTTAGCAGAATTGCTTATAATTGAAATCAAGTTGTTTCTTTTCAACAAACAATTAACACATTTAAACAAATTTAAACAATTTTTCTTATGTTTAATTTGTTTCGAATTTTTGTTTATATAATTGTTTGTTATTGAAATCAAGGTGCTTGTTTTCTTGAGCTATAAATAACTATGGATCGAAATAAATTAGGTATGGCAAAAAATGTATTCTTTATCATTGAAATTGAGGTTTATGGATAGATATATATATATATATATAGAGAGAGAGAGAGAGAGAGAGAGAGAAATGGTGAGTAAATTAAATATTAAAAAAATTGAATGTTTATTATTGAAATCAGTGTTTGCTCATTTTCTCGTATAAAAGAAACTAGATACTTTAAATATTTTTTTAATGAAATCTTTGGTCAAATAAGAATTTTTTATTATATTTCCTGTTATAAGCATAATATTAAGATAACTTAATTCTTCTTGTTTTAGGCACAGCGTTGCTGAGAAATGGCAGCAGAAGATGCGACCAATAATTTTATCAGGGATCCTGAGCTACGCTTGTCGCAGTTTCTGTATGTTGGGAAAGAATATGCTGACTACCATCCTGGAAATTGGTTTGTCCATGATTATTTCCGGGCCGTCAATATTATGTCCATATTAGAATTAGCTGAAAATCCCAAAAAGCAATTGATACCAATTGAATTAATCACAAAGGTAAATATCTGCACAAATTGCCTAATATACTGTGGATCTTTTGTCATAATTGTTCCTAAAGTGAAGATATTTGCAGGCATTTGACAGTGGTCTTGTCCCGTGTCCAGAGACTTTAGTGTTTGCTCTGGCCGTTTGCTGCAGACAAATTCAAAGTGAGAAATTACGTCATGCAGCATACAGAAGTGTAGGAAAGATCTGTGCATCACAGCAGTACCTCATGCTGTTTGTCAAATTTGTTTCCAAACTGAGCAAACAGAAGGAGCTGGCTGCAGATGACAATGCTAAAAGCGGATGGGGTAATGGCCTCAGAAAAGCCATTAATCAATGGTACTTGTCCAAAGAGCCATTGGACTTGGCAAAGTGCATCACAAGATGCAGGAGTAGATATGGCTGGAAACATAAAGACATTATTAAACTGTCTCATCCTGTAGCTAATAATCCAGGTAAACACACAAAACTGTATTTTGTAGAGAAAGCACAAATCTGCTTTCTTCGAGATTCGCTAATTTCTTCAGTTTGTAAATCCAGTATTATTCTTTCCACATATTTCTTTACATATATAAGCCATCATATGGGTTTTCAGGATAATGTCAACGGTAGAGTTGTCTAGAAATGAATGATTAATGAATATAGCTCGTAGAAGTTAAATAATTAAATAAGTACAATTTACATAGTGCATTTTTTATATTACATTGTGACCGATAACTGTAACTGTTAGTCAATGACGAAGATGTTACTTAGACAGTTAATTATTTAATAGAAATGGGAGCAGTACTGCAATATATAATACACGGTATGAAACGTACCAGAGCGTCTCTGGAGAAGGAACCTGATAATCCAAAAATTACCGAGATCATGGAATATATACAAAAGATCGAAGATTTTAAACACTGCGAAGACGAGGTTCGTGCTGCTGCCTTGCTAGAAGCATACGAATTATCACTGGATCATGTACCCGGACACTTGTTAACATCCAAAGAGGTAAACAAAAATAAAAATATACATAAAATCTTTTATTGCTATTTATATGCGATTTTGGTCGAAAAAAAGTAATAAGATGATAAATATTGCGCCATTAACACATTAAAAATTACAATTTATGCGATAATAATATATACTCGTCAATATCTCAGCAAATTTAGCCATTTATTTAATCAATTCTGAAATAACCTCACTAATAATAATGTTCGATGATTTCGTATACAGATTTGGAACGTATTGATATCATTAATGGATATGGTCACACTTCTAAACAACTTGCAAAGAATTCACAATCTCGAAATACTCAAACCAGATGCACCGGCGGTTGGGATAATAACAGAACAGCTTGTTAATGAGGAGCGTTTAACACGAGATAAAGTTCATCCTGCGTTGGTTTTGATTACCATCAGGAATTACGAAAATTCTGGAAAGTACGTGTGCAGTTACACGTATGTAGTTTTAAATTATTGAGGGTCATCACTTATAATGAAACATTTTCTCAGACCTCTCAGCTACGAGAAACGAAAGGTCAAGGAACAGGCAAAGAAACCTCCTCCGCCACCGCCTAAACCGAATTCCAGAATAATTGATGCTTTGTACAAGACATTGAATTTGTCATTTTCAGTGAGTCGAATTCTTACACACATCTACTTAATAATTATAAATTATTACTCATGTGATCGTATATGACTTCAATATATTATGTGCGTATCTGTTAAAATTAAAATATATTTTACAACGAAGTTGTATAAGTTGTAAAATATATTTTACAACACAATGTGAGTGTTTGCTCTAAATCAATTTCTTTTTATTTTTGTTAAATGTTGTTTATACAAGTATATTACATTACTACAATTATTTTCAGCATCTGCAACCCACTGGTTTGCGTTACATGGTGACGATCGACATGAACAAGGTGATGCTGGACACGCGCGCTTGGCACAACGCCAATCTAACCGGCGCTGAGGCTGGCTGTATGATCGCACTGTCGCTCGTTCGATGTGAGAAGAACGTCACTGTGGCTACATTCAAGAACGTCGGAGTACACACAGTGAACATCGACAAGACGGCATCCTTCGGCCAGACCATGCGAAGACTGTCGCAGATGCCTGTCGGAAATGTCAACTTGGCTAAACCGATGTCGTGGGCCGCACATCAAAATAATAAATACGACGTCTTCATCAACATCGTAGACCAAGTGCTCGCAAAGTCCGACACATCTGAGGAATCTCTGATAGCATACAAAACAAAATTAAAACTCCCACACACAAAGTAAGTACTCGTTTTTACGTTATCGTTATTTTATAAATTGAAAGAAATTGTTCTAATTTCGAATTATTTATCAGTCTCGAATTATTTATCAGTCTCTTGAAGTATTAGTCTGTTCTTTATAGTTGCATTAATTTGCACAGTTTGTACTTAAAAAATAAAGTAGATACATATTTGATATTTAATGGGAAAAAAAAATGGAAAAACAAGAGAGTTCAGAAAGTATAGCTATAAAAAAAAACAGACATATATGTAGACTTTTATATGTATATCTTTATATTAGGGCTCGGAATAGTTTACCAATTTCGGCCGATTCTCGGGAGCTACGCCTTCTACTTTCCTCTTGCCGCGAGCGGGCCACAAAAGTGACGGTCGAGCCTCCAAGCTTGAAGCCGCGACTAGCCGCGACCGTCACTTTTGAGGCCCGCCACGCGGCAAGAGAGAGATAGAAGGCGTAGCTCCCGAGAATCGGCCGAAATTGGCAAACTGTTCCGAGCCGAGTCCCTGCTTTATATGATCAAAAAGTAAAAATAAGACCTATAAGAGGCAACATTGTTTGGAGGTATGTAAGTAAATAAATACTCAGCTGATAATACTCCAATGTGCTTCAAGTGGATTTCTTTACTATGTATCGTTTATTCACGTATATTATTATCAATATAATTATTTTCAGCATCTGCAACCTACCAGTCGTTATTTACGATTGTTTATTTATGTACCTCAACTTAACACTGCATCTTATATTCTTATTTTTATATTTTGATTGTATACTACAGTCTTTCTTTATTTAACTTTTATGTGAACTGTAAGTATAACGTTTCTCACACAGGCTAATTAATTGTGCTGTATGCTCTTCCTCGACATATTATAAAGCGAATCCTGACAAAAATATTCTAACGATCAACGGCTTCGACGAGACAGTACCTACTGTTATCAAGGCGTTCGCTAAGTCTCTATTCTAAACGGAAAAACGTTTAATTTTTACTGGTAAGTAGTATCGATATTTTAAACGATTGCACCTGCGTGATGTTAATACTTCTGACTTATGTCACAACAGGAGACTTTCCTCGACATCTTTTCCTGGGAAGAACGAAGAAATATTCGACTAGGAAAGAAATTGATCTTGTTAAAGCAAATTTCCACGTGAAAGTGAAAACACACGGCCAGTTCAAGAAGCCGACAATGGGATTATGGATTTTCCTGCAAAAAATGTATTCAGTAGAATCAAATTACGACGAACTGAGTACGAATACAGTCGGAGAAAAGTTACGAGGAGCTTTCGCAGATTACTTAAAACAGTGCCGAATTTTGAGATTCAAACTGTCTCGCCTTTTTTACCAGTTCCGAATGTCGGCTCGTTTGCACACTCATGACTGAATCAAATTATTTAACTTCGCTATATGTCTCTGATCATTTTAAGGTCGAACAGAGAGACGTTTTTAGAACGTACGGTAGATAGATGACGATGAAGATCATTATCAAGAACATAGTGTAAGTGATCGTGCATCATTATTGGCACGTCGACAGTTAACATTAATATTTACTGCATGTTCTTAGCGTTAGGAAAGAGCTGTGTAGCATTTTCCTTTTATTTGTTAACAGCATATAAAAAGGATCGGATATTTTTTTACTCCGGTTTGGACTTTCGACGATACTACTTAAACGTAACTCGGCGATCTTATTTTTTCAACGAAACATTATAGCACAGTGTTGTGTCGACCTCATCATATAAGCAATATAGATTAGTTAATATGGACCATTTTTTATTAAGCTGTTGCATATGAGTTCTTGTGTGAAGTCTTGGAAGCCGTCAGAGTGCATATTTCCTTAATAAAATGTTCTCTTCATTTCTTTTTTTTTACAATTATAGATTTTAATTCTTAGCTGAAATTTATAATTTTTCCAAATTCAATTTCTCTAAATATAATTAAATATAAAAAGGAAGAAGTCAAACTTCCATTAAGTTTAATTATTTATAAGAATAACTAATGATATTTCTTTAGATTTCATTAGTGTTTCTGTGAGAATTGATATTTCAAGAAGCTAAAATATCATATGCAACTGCGTAATAACCTCTCACGTTTTAAAAACTACAAAAAGAGAAGAGTACAATTCAATAGTCCTGTGTTTCAATAGTCCATATTACGTAAGACGCACTACGCAGCAAAAAAAATTAGGATAAGACTGCATAACGGATACGGGAATACGTATCTCAAGTAATCTAACGGTGCATTTTTTGACTAATGGTAAAAAAGAAAAAGTCTTACCTAATATTATATTGCTTGCTTGTTTCCACTGGTTGACAGCGATGCTTCTTCGTAATATAGTGCATGATAGATTTTTAACGTGACCTTGAAAAGGCAACACACTTCTGGAACCGTGGTGCGCTTCTGGACGGTTAAATAATAATCTAAAATAAGTAAAAGAAAAAAGACAAAAAAAGAAGAAAGAAAGCGAACGACGAGGAAGATGATGAACATAGGAACGTTGAAAATTCTCCCACTGTGATATGCATTTAGCCCCAAAGAGTTATAGACTTACATTAGTATAATTTTACTGTTACTATCTCATATTTGCCATATCCAAAGTGAATGCGAGACAAATACTAAATACACTACTGAATAATACTGTGATACGAGATACATTGTTGTTGTTCAAACTAGGGAAATGGTATTTAAGCGACGCGACCAGAAGCGCACCGCGTTTATAATATTTGTTGAATTAGTCTCTGCGCGTGTTAGACCGCGTGAATTTTCCGTTGAAAATTCTGCAACTCGTATTTCGAAGAAAAGAATGTATTTTTTCGATTCGCGGATTACCATCCCTCAGTTTTTCCCTTTGTACTGTAATTATGAGCCCTCTTTGTGCGCACATTTCCTTGTTACGGTACGACAACAATCGAATAGATTGTTTTAAGAAATTTATAACTTTTTTACAGAAAACTATTGCATGTATAGTTATTCTTTTCATTATAAAATATCAGTAGCCTAAATTAAAAACAATTCGAAGGATGTTCACGATAATTTATTCAATTTTAATATTTTTAGAGCATATATTGTATGTTATATATTTTCCTAGAGACTAAATAACTTCGAAATTTCATTTGTTATAAACGTATTTGACTCATTGTTAAAAAAGATGCCTAAACTATCATGTAGAAAATTGTTTATCATTCGGTAATCTGTGGATCGAAAGTTATCGATGTGAATTCTATTTCAATATATGGTGTTCCGAAAAAAAGTATATGAATAGGCTATTCTTTAAACGATCTACCTTCGATCTACTCTTAATGATTATAAAGTCGAGCTAGTTATTAAAAACTACAATTGTACTACTGTTGGCAAATCGATCTTACGAAAAGAATTGATTTTTTTATTATCAATTGTCAAGAGACAATTAGAGATAAGTTGAATTTTCTCAGAGTCCGATTGTGTATTTATCAGAAAAGATACGTATCTATTTCGAGGCGCATTCATGTAAAACGATTATAGCAAACTTCTTAAAAACGTTGAACGTGTATTCAAACTTGTATAAAAATTCCAAGCGGAGTCGTAATGCGTTTTACCGACGTAAGTTAGCGTAAGAATTTTGCATTTTAAAAGAAAACTCACATGAATGATTTTTATAGTCTCGTTTGCGCGACGTCTCTCTCTCTCTCTCTGTTTAAAAAATTTTATATGAATTATAATTTATCATGTGTGTAACAGTATCTATTAGACGGACTGTTCCTAATCGAACTTCGTGTTTTGCAAGTCTATTGCGCTTAGAGAAATTATTTATATATTCACTATATACATACGTGAAAGCACTTACACACACATGACATACGCGCATCTCATGTTCGCATCGTTTGGCGTCAGTAACGTCACATTTTTTTACGCGTAAATTTCCGACGCGAGGGCGGAACTTCTTCGGGAAACGAAACGTCTAGTTTAATTAGTAATTCGAGAGTTTAAGAATATATATGCTACGATTATACTAGTAGCTCAATGTATTCGCTGGCATTAGCAAGTAGGCATTACAAGTATTTGTATATGTACGGGAGTGCGTTACAACCAGAGAGGATTCGTTGGAGAAAAACCCCTTTCTTCAGATACAATCAGGAACAATCGATCTACTTGATCCTAAACTCAATCAATTCTGACATCAATCCAAATAACTCAAATAGTTCCTTTCAAATTTTGTAAAAGTGTTAAGGCTCTTTGTACGCCATGAGAATTAAAACCGCTGATTCCTCACTGCGATCATTTTAATTGATGACATCAGAAATACACGTTCAAAATTCTAGTAAAATATATTCAGATAAAATGACACGTCCATCAAATGATCGATTGAGCAGATTTTCAAGTACTTCAAAAGTTGTCTTGTTTTAATAAACAATAAATAAATAGCCGTAAAATTAGCAAGATGTGTATCTACTTTGACATATATTGACACTATGACTATTTTTCAATTGCATCATTTTGTTACGTTGATTTTATAGCTATTTACTGATTAACAAGATTTTTTACAAATCTGCTCAAACGATTGCGTCGTTTTTTTGGGCATGTCTTTTTAATAAAATGCATTTTGCAAGAATTTTGAACGTGTATTTTCTTACTTCTGATGTTACTGGCCAAGACACAAGATTACAAGGAAACAGGAATCTTAATTATTCAAGCAACGCTATACATGCTTTGCGAGATTCAAACTCGAATTCCTCTCGGGTTGTGATGCACGACAGATCTATGTATTCGCTAATTACTATATAAAAATACGTCCGAAGTACACGTATAGACTGGCAGACGAAGGAGAAAATGGAAAAAAAGAGAAAAAAAGGAACAGACGTTGGAGGAGAAAGCAGTATGAGAGTCAAGTACAGGCAAAACCTGAAGAGAACCGTACACTTCTCTCTACTGTACTGTTATTTCACAGTCCGTTGATTTCAGGATGCGCTGTATGATTGAATAAGGCGATGATAAAGAGGAACATAAAAAAACGAAACAATATGTTGAATGTGTTCATACTAGAGAAAGAGGACAAAAAAGATGAATATTTACCGCGTAAGAGGAAAGAGGAATGGGAGTAAAAATTCCGTATTATTACATAGTTATTATAACGTGGAGAAAAAGAAGAGGAGAATGTAACGGGGAATCGAAAGACCAAGATGGAAGAAGATTCAAAACACACATAGGCACCAAGTGCACGTGCACGTGTCATATGGCAACTCGATTGCGCTACATTCTGGCATTTCGCGATACTTACGACGAAGAGGAAACGTAAAATCAGCCTCGTCGCCGAAGTTCCGGGCTGACCGTTGATTTTGACCGGGAAGCGTGTGAAAAAACCCATTTATCCGACTCGTACGTAGTGTTCCACGCGTCACTCGGGCACGCATTGATCATTAACTGTCGCGGTGCAATCCGCAATTCATTCGCGAAGTCTGCATAGGACTAAGTGCTTGCGACCATGTTGACTAACATGCCGGTTAATTAATCCTGGTTGATCCTTCGTTACGGCTAGAGGGGACACGATATATGAAAAGAAGTAACATTATGTGATTATAAAATTTCTATCCAAATTGCGGTGCTCTCGAAAGAGCCTTCGTCTTTATATTAAATTAGGGACCAGGAAAATCCGTTTACTATGAAAATACTTACGTACCCAATTTGCATACGGCTTGTTGCAATTTCACTTTGTCTACACACCATGGCCTTTTGTACACCGATCGTTCAATTTGCATATCATTTACGTAGAGAGAATATTATAGTTTCTCTTTCTATAAATTCTTTACTTTTACAATATTTGTAGTAGCGCAGGAATAGACTGTCAGTAAAGTCCATCTTGTTAAGGAGCATAGTAAATTTCACTAGAACAAATTTTTTAATAGCACATTTCAGTTCTTAAAATATAAGTAGCATATATGAGATAGAAGGACAGTCAATTACGACAGAATGTCGATTTATTCCTCGGTTACAAAATTCTATAATAATTTTTACTACAAAATTTTTTCTGTGTTATGATTTTATAATAAATCATCTTTATTTCGATAATGCGTGTATTAAATTGGTATGACATGCCTTTTTGATGCGTGTTATATCAGTTTGGTACACCGTTTTTTTGCATGCATCATCGAAATTAAAATAATTTGATAGACGATTATTTCATATATAAATAACGTATTAAACGACTAGTATAAGATTGTACACGATGATGTTTTAGGATATAATCCTATATATAGTCGTGTATATTATAATATTAGGATTTTGGTTAGTCGCAGAAGTGATCAAAATTTCAATTATTATTAGGCTCTATGATTAACAATCAAGTAATAATCATATACTTGATTAATCAGATAAAAAGCTAAGCCTGTGAGAACTAAGCGCTAGATTTAAGTGCACAAAAGTTATTAACAGTTCTTTCAATGAACCAAAATTATGTAATAATTATCTTTAATATCATAAAATCTTATGATATTAAAGATAATTATTACATAATTTTGTTTCATTGAACTATTGTTAATATTCGTACACTTTAACTCAGCACTTCGCTCTCACAAGTCAGTTTCTTCTTATGCAAAAATAATCGTAATGAATTCGATCGCAGTTTCGCGTTTAATTATACCGAGAGATGTATTAATTTGAGTCGTCTCTTTTGATACGTAATAAGCGGAGTTTGATTGAACAAGTTCAATTTCTGTGAATCTCTTCCGAAGGAGAGATTTCGCATCCGCGAATGATTGCCCGATCGAAGCACTTCCTACAGTTCTCTCACCTGACTTTCTTGCGTCTCTCTTTCTTAGTCATATGCAGACTTATTCCTGGCTGAGTACACACAAGAGTACGAAATAGCACCCCATGTTCCTTATAGAATTATGTATAAAAATGAGAAAACTAATAATTCCATAATTAGTACATTGTCGCTTCAACCGATAAGAAACTAGAAGAAGTGCTCAAACGTTTTTCGAAATCCCTTTTCGAAGCAAATGCCAAAAGTACGAAAGATAAAAAATACAAAAAAAAGAAAGAAAGAAAAAAGTATAGAACAAAATGATATATGCAACTCTATTGTACAAACCGCAATGAAATACCTCGTTACTTGTTCACAGTGTAAAATAGCAAAGCGAATTGTACTAACTCTGTGAGTTACAACGAAAATTGTCCTTCTGGTTCGTGATTCACGCACTGAACGCCTATCTTTTGGCCTTACTTTTTTATACACACGAAAATCTGCTGTGAGAGGGCGAGGTGAAACGATTGATTCGCAAACTAACAATAATCGTTCACTCGTTGCTGCCCGTTTCGGCGTTTTATACTGATCGCTCGGAATTATATGTCGCTGCGAATTGGTATACTTTCTGTTTCCTTTCAAGGATAGTATTATTATTCGTAGATCATATTTTCACACAAAGCGTACGACTCGGTGATTTGCGATATGTATATCGACGAATTCATGGAAATCAAGGTGGAGACGCGATCGCCGCGTTTACGAGGCTGCGTCGGAAAGGCTTCGGGATCGACTATACGGCGAGTCGAAATTTTGAGAAAATCACTCGTCATTCGTCGTGTTTCATTCTTAAAACATCGCAAAAATTAATTAAAAATTAATTTAAATTAACATCAAAAAGTTGAGAAGTCTCTTGTATGACTAAAATTCGCAATGTAGCTAAGGATAACGTTACACACACAAGCATGTGTCTCAATGATCATTGATTATCATTAATAAAATTAATGATTATCTTCTTCTAATGACGATCATCGAAACAGTGGAATGTTTCCTATGATATTGTCCTCGGTAAAACAAAGTGGAGTCGAGCGACAAATTTCCCCTCGAAATTTGATCTCATCGAATCTCAGATTCAAAATCTTGCAAAGCTCTTCTCCGACACAGCCTGCATATTCGTCATCCTACCGACACACGCGCAGAGTGTCCGTTACACGATTTCGATATTATTTTTGTACCTAAGTAAATTCGCGAAACATTACGTGAGCCCAGCGGTTAGATTGCTCTGGACGAGCGTCAGTAAACTCCACGTGGGAGCGAATTATGTTACTATCGTCGTTATATAACGGTTGTATTTCGGTAAGAAAACCATAATAAGCGGGTGAAAAAAATATTATAATAGAGAATTGATTATCATGTTTACGAATTCCGTGCTGTTTTTGTTACAGTATGAACTGGATCCTTGAATAAATTTCTCAAAACCCAAAACGCGAAGTTTTTTTATAAGACCGATTTTCACCAAAAAAGTGGCAGTAACAATGTTAATAGCAAAAAGATAAAAATAAAAAGCTTTTTAGCAAAGACTATGTTCTCCAGAAACCGACTTATGTATGTTTCTAACGAAATATGCTTTTGACAATTTGATGGAAGGTACAAATGTCATTCCAACAAAATTAGAAGAATTATTATATTATCATTACCATGTGTGTGATTAAACTGCTAATAGCAATGTTATTAACAAAAATTATATTCTCAAATGTTTCCAACAAAGTTGGAAAGTTTTAAACAGTTAATGACACTGTCATCGGCAAATATGTGCTATATGTAAAAATTTGACAATTTTTATACGATCAGCCACGACAAAACTTTTGTTATTAACAATTGTTGCTAACATATATCTAGTTCAATTTTCTGCTAATAACATTTACTTTCAACATCCTCTGATCTAGGCCGCCAAATAATAGGTTGCGAAAATTATATTTTTGACAATAAGTAGCAAAGCTAACAGCATGTTTACAGCAAAATTAAGTAATTTCTCGTCAATAATATTTACTTTCCGCAAAATGTTGAAAACAATGTTATTAACATTTTTTTATTCCAAAATAACAAAATTAATAGCAAAATGTAATTAATTGTATTTAAATGTATTTTATAACTTGATAACGATTTTTTCCAGCAATTTTAAATGAGACAAATTGATTAGTAAGACTGCTAGAAACACACGTTATTAGCAATAAACAAATGTAAACAAGTCTTAATTCTCACGTCGAGACAAGTTGGGTGGATATGCGCAAGGCTGTCATATAAACTTCCATCTCACGAGTGAGTCTTCATTTACTGAAAAAATCTTTATTCTTGCGATACCGATACATATTGCAACACTCACGCACATACGCATATACGGCTACATAGTACATAGTACGATGCAGTCCGGCGGCAGTATACGAGTTTACGTACCCGCAATACTCGCGTGCAAATCATTCATTCCCATTTCCAATCGCATACACTCGAACAAACTTGTAACGGGTTTTATTATTATTGATTAATCGTTATAAGGACTTAATAGAACATATAAAACAATTCAAAATAAATTAACGACGCAATATTGTGTGTGTATGTGTATGTGTTTTAGGAGAAGGAGAACGAGAAGAGCGTCGGAAAAGTCTCCCTCCAGACACCTCCCAATATATTTCGGGAGGGTCACAATAATTCCTCCTAGCAAACACAATACAGAATGATAGGCGATGATTATAGTCACTGTGTGATCTTCTGGCGGACCAGCAATCCACAGTGCTTGGAATTCATTGCATTTACAAGATGATCTACAGACGCCTAGCATCGTTCTCTTCGTCGCTCCCATCTCGTAAAAATACTCGAAGACTAATATGAGATACAAAAAAAATGTGAATGTTATAACAAAAAAGAGCAAACAACAGACGCGATGTCCGAAAATTGTTTTGTAAACGCAACCAATTTCAAGCACTCAGCAAACACTTCTCCTACGACCGACTGAGCTACAACAGAATGAAACTTGCGTTACGTTTACTAAACCGTAAATCGTCTATTTCGTGAAATGTTCATTTTATGCTGACTCAGCCGGACGCGGAATTTCGTCGACATATTGTTAAATACATCCTGCACACACGAGTGACTAGCACTTCACACAAAACTACTTTCCGATTAAGGAAAATGCAAGAAGGTACAACGGATTAAAAAAAGTTAATATTTTTACATATTCATAGCTTAACCGTAACTAATATTTTCTTCTATATGTTGCTATGAATTGTAGATTTAAAAAACCTGATTGATTTCTCTTCTTCCTTAGCGACGTCCTTAGCACTCGCTCACACTTTCCTTGAACGTACGCGGACTTTCGTGGCGAAGACTTCTATTCCCACTGTACATTTAGCTCCTGTCATTCTTATTATACAGGATGGAGTAGCGTTTGTTCGTTCACTTTCGATGTGTTAAATAGAATCAAGTGAGGAACGAACGCCGTAGAGAATAGATCCTCTATCTTATAATGTATATATACTACAGATTACTTAAATAAAATTTAGAACCGGACAGTCAGATTTCAGCTAAACGCACAGCGAGAGCGCGGCGTGTCTCGTGAACGCATTTCAACCTCTCATACGTCAACAGAACTTCTGTAAAGTATTTGCTCGGGAGGTGAAGTTAATCAGTCTATACCGCGAAATGGAGCGGGCGAGTCGTTAGCTTGCAGTTAAAGCTCGTCCTTGAGATCCTCGTCGTCACCACCGGTCGGTGGGACGCCACCGCCTGTCCCTTGGTAAAGTTTGGCGATAATCGGCTGAACAATGTCGGTAAGTTCCTTCTTTTGTTTCTTGTATTCCTCCGGCTCGGTGTCTTGATTGTCTTCGAGCCACTTGATCTTCTCCTCGATCGCTTCCTCCATCGTCGCTTTGTCTGCGTCGCTCACCTTCGAGCCGAGCTTCTCTTTGTCAGCCAGCTGGTTCTTCAACGAATACGTGTACGATTCAAGATCGTTACGCGCCTCCACGCGCTCCTTCAGCTTCTTATCATCGTCGGCGAACTTCTCCGCGTCCTTGATCATCCGCTCGATGTCATCAGGCGTCAGGCGATTCTGGTCGTTCGTGATGACGATCTTCTCGCGGTTACCGGTACCCTTGTCCTCGGCCGATACTTGCAGAATACCATTCGCGTCGATCTCGAAAGTTACCTCAATTTGTGGTATACCACGCGGCGCCGGTGGGATGCCGGTGAGGTCGAACTTGCCGAGCAGATGGTTGTCCTTGGTCATCGGACGCTCGCCTTCGTACACCTGAATCGTGACAGTGTGTTGGCTATCGGACGCCGTGGAGAAAATCTGAGACTTCTTTGTAGGAATGACGGTGTTTCTATAAAAATAAATAAGAAATATTATTTAATAATGCAATTTTATATATATATATATATATATATATATATATATATATATATATATATATATATACACGATATAATTCTAAATTCTAAAAATCCAAAACATCCAAGGAAGTTCTGCCAGTCTAAGAATTCATTAAATAAAGCACCTCAGAATTCAAGTATCTATGATGAATTTAAGTATGAATCTAATGATTCTCAAAAATCTGAAAATGCAATAACATAAGAATACAAACAGATAAAGGTATCTAAAAACCAAAGATTTCCTAAATACTAAATTTTTAAGAATTGAAAATTGCAATATATACATACTATACAAAAATTTGACATATATTTAATACACTTGAATGTAAAAAATTTTTAATCAATTGAGCTTCTCATTGAGATGTGATTAAAATCTGTTTCGACTGCTAAAAATAACTAATAATGAATAATAAATAAATAATAATAACTGCACACAGCTGTGCAACAGAAAAAAAGTGCTTTGTGTGCTCACCTTGGAATAAGTTTAGTCATCACACCTCCAACAGTCTCAATACCCATAGTAAGAGGATTAACGTCGAGAAGTACGATCGCATCCGTGTCTTGTTCTCCAGAGAGCACTCCCGCTTGCACAGCGGCACCATAAGCGACAGCCTCATCGGGGTTGATGCCTCGCGACGGTTCCTTGCCACCGAAGAATTCCTTCACCAACTGCTGAACCTTCGGGATTCTAGTCGAGCCACCAACCAAGACAATTTCGTCCACGTCTTTCTTGCTCATGTCGGAATCTTCCAAGACCTTCTGCACAGGCTTGAGAGTGCTGCGGAAGAGGTCCATGTTTAACTCCTCGAATTTGGCACGGGTCAGGGTCTCAGAGAAATCTTCGCCCTCGAAGAACGATTCGATTTCGATCCTCACCTGCAATATACAAAAATATCAGTTAGATCGATAATCGTTAATTGAAATAACAAATAGTAACAGTAATAATCACTTGACAAAAAAATATACTTAATAGATTTATTTAGTTATTTAATAATTTAAAAAAGATAAAATTATATATAAGAAAATAGATTATTAAAAAAAAATTATATATAAAAAAATATATAAGAAAATCTATTAAACAACAAATACGTAATAATCGCTTGACTTAAACAGATACAATTTAGAGTTAGAGAATTTAAAAATGGAAGGATCATAGCTAGTATAAAATAGGTAATATAAAATAGAAAAAAACGTATACACACTTGGTGGCTAGCGCTGAGCGCTCGTTTGGCCTTCTCGACTTCACGACGCAATTTCTGCACAGCTCGGTTATCCTTGCGAATATCCTTGCCCTTCTTCTTCTTGTACAGCTTGATAAAATGATCCATCACGCGCTGATCGAAGTCTTCGCCTCCTAAATGAGTGTCTCCGTTGGTCGCAACGACCTCAAACACGCCGTTGTCGATAGTGAGCAGGCTGACATCGAAGGTACCACCACCCAGATCGAACACCAGTACGTTCTTCTCACCGTCTTTCTTGTCCAAGCCGTACGCGATCGCGGCGGCAGTCGGTTCATTGATGATCCTCATTACGACGAGGCCAGAGATAGTTCCAGCATCCTTAGTTGCCTATAACGAGGAGGAAAATTAGAACATGAGATTAAAAATTAGCAATGAAAAGATGTTTTAATCGACTTGCTCGTCCTGCCTTCCGGATTACTGCTGTGTACTTCGTGGATTTGACGTTTTGTCAGTATTTCAGTTCACTTTGTGAAAGCAAGAGAAAAACAACCCGAACTGAAATGTTCACGAAACTTGGAAACAAATCTACAAAGAACACAGCACAAATTCGGAAATCAGATCGAGCAGTTCTTTATAGCACGGGAGCTTCAAATATTAAGTTCGAACCGATTTGTTACAGCTTAACTTGTTACAATTAATATTATTTCTTAGCTACTATGTAAATTTTTTGAAGTGATTCGATGATTACTCTACTTTTCGAATGATTTTCCATTCATATAAAGCGAATTCTTCACTTTAAATTGTAGAGTAAATATTTTTATTCGAACTTTAAAAGTGAATTTAATGTACTCCACTGTCACAGGAACACAATCATTCTAATTCATTGAAAGATTCGCTCATATGGAATTAAAATCCAAGCTTGAGTGAAACACTCTTGCGATTTCAAGTGGCAATATTTTCACTATCGCTTCAAGTGAAAAAACTGCTACTTTTCGCTTATTTCTAGTGAGATTCCACTACAAAAATTTTAAAGATACGTGTGTGTATATGTCTCAATATCATGCATGACGTTTCAGCATTTTTAAATTTTCGCTCGAGTGCAAGTACCAGACATCAAGATGTAAAAGACGTCTCTAAAACACTTCAAAGGAATATCAATTCGAGGCTCACAACCATTCACAATTTGTTCGTGCAAAGACAAGTATATAGCCAAGTCTCAATGCGACGGATATTAGGTATAGAGCTATTGAAGAACATCTCACCTGTCTCTGCGCGTCATTGAAGTATGCCGGGACAGTAACCACCGCGTGAGTAACCTTCTTGCCGAGATATGCCTCGGCAGTCTCCTTCATCTTGCCCAGCACCATAGCGGAAATCTCTTCAGGCGCAAACACTTTCTCGCCTTGACTGGTCTCCACCTTAATGTGTGGCTTGTTATTTTTCTCAATTACCGGAAACGGGAAGAATTTCACGTCGTGCTGCACAGTGGGGTCTGACCACTCGCGACCGATCAGTCGTTTCGCATCGAACACAGTGTTTTCCGGATTTGTCGTCAGCTGGTTCTTCGCGGCGTCGCCGATCAGGCGCTCGCCGTCGGCGGTAAATGCTACGTAGGAAGGCGTGATTCTGTTACCCTGGTCGTTGGCTATGATCTCCACGCGGCCATTCTTGTAAACGCCAACGCTGAAAGACGTATACATCAAAATTATAATTATTTATTTAATAATATTAATTAAAATTATAATTATAATTAAAATTATAATTATAAAAATTAATTATTATAAAAATTAATATTATAATTAAAATTATAATTATATGTAATTAATCTTGTTACATTAATCTTGTTAATCTGTCTAGAACGCATTTTCTAAAGTACAATCAGTATATTCTTCACTGAAATGCTATGTTTACAACTGGTGATTTAGTTATAGTAGTGCAGTATTAAGTATAGTAGTGCAATCGGTAAAATCTTGCTAAAAGAATCAGTTAATAGTAACAAATGTTTCTATGACCTGTTTTTAGACTTGTTCTTTTTTTAAAAACTTCTTGAACTGAAGATTGGTGTAATAAGTTAGAGTGAGAGAATATAGACTCTGAAAATTAGAGTAAGAGTACAACGAGTATATATTGTTTCATTTTAACTTATTGCATCAGTTAATGTGCATCAGTTTAAGCAGTTCTTCGAAAAAGAACAGAGCTATTGGTGTAGTTTGCAAACATAGATAGTGTCATTACACATAAATCGCGTTGAAGTTGTTAATTCCATCGCCACAAACGCAGAAATTTAAACTTGGAACAGCGTATAATAAATTTATATACCACAAATTTTGCAGTAAAATTTTCCACTAATTAAAATCAGTGAAATATAAGATATAGATTAATAAAGGGACTGATTCTACCAGAAACATTTTTATAGTGCTGATGCACTATAGGAAAGCAATGTATCATTATATTTAATCTTCAAGTAACATATACTTACCAGGAGTAAGTTGTGCCCAAATCAATTCCTATCACCGTACCAATGTCCTCCTTTTCCTTGTCCTCTTTCGCAAACACGGCGACTGCTAGCAGTCCCAACATCAGCAAAGCTTTTGCTTCCTTCATGTTTTGTATTTTCTATGAACTTTACCTAAATTACAAATAATTGTAGAATTAATGCATGGTAGAATTTTGATAATTATCTTTGATAATTTTGTTATGATTTGATACAATCATATGACACAATTATATACAAAATATTACATATGTAATATTGCATATTTTGTGTTAATAATTACATTAATACCAAATAAATTGTATATAAATATCTTAATATACAGCGCTTTTTGTTAAATGTAACAATTAACATAATGTTAGTAAAGTATACATCACAAAAAAGTATACATTACAAAAGTAGACTCTATTAAAATTAATTTCTTCTAAAGGATATCTTTATAAATTATATTTTAGAGCAACAATACACATCAGATTACAACCATATTTGGAGCACAACTTGTTTCCCCATTTTTGACATCTGGCACTGGATATACTTCTCAATATTTGATATATTTCTTACAGTATCGCAAATTCAAGTTAATTAAACAAATTAAAGATAAACTAACGATAAATTAAAGTTTACGTGGCCACGAGTGAGATCTATTGGGACAGCATCGGTTTGATAAAAGTGTCACACGTCATCTTTCCGTCTTCAAGATGATTTCACAATTTCTTGATACCTCAACATTTCGGAACCGGCCGAGTGCCGTGATTATTACGATCCGACGAGCATCTTTGCACGCGTCGAGACGACGTAAACACGTAGATGTCCTCGAGGAGCCTTGACCGCGGGCGTATCGAACGAATCGCGATCAAACGTGGCAGAAGACTCGCCGCGACATCCGAACATAAAAACTCCCGTTGAACTCGGGCGAGTGAACGCGGAAATACCGCGGAAAGCTATTCGCCGATTCGCGTCGATCTCGGCTAACGATCAAAATATCCCACGAAACCGTCGGAAAGTCTTAGGAGAATAAGATTTCCGTTTGGACGAAGATGATTCAGTTGCGGCTTACATGTCGTCGATAGGCAGCGATTCGACAAAGTGAAACGTTCGCGGCGAGCCGTAATACAGAATTTCGTGTCAGGCAAAATATCGGAAAAGCGAAACGATGAACTCACCAGTCGAATTTTTGTGTCTCCAAAAGATACGTCGGTGCTCACAGACGGTGAACGATTCCTCTCCGGTTCTCTCGTCGATACGTACGTTGTCAATCTCACGCAGAAACGGTACAGCGATGACTGATCTCAGCGACGAACTCGAGGCCGGGATATTAACGGGAACGTTTCGTCGTGGCCGACGCCGATTGGCGGCGCAGCCGCCGCTGGCCGCCGCGCTCGTGGAATGCCGACGCGCTGATTGGCTGGCGCGCATACAGATGGCCGCAGTGCGTTGGCCCACGTCACGGCAAATCACTTCCAGAACCTTCGCACACGGCTACGATTGGCACGCAACCGATTGGACGTGACACGGGGTACACGTGGTGTCCACCAGCCCGGCGGGTTCAAGGGTGCACAGGCAGGGCCGGCGTCACCGCGCGCCGTCATACTTTCATTCTCTATCGCGAGATACAGTACACCGACACGCAAGTAACCGTGTCGATGGCATCATTATCGTGATATTATGTTATCGAGTTAAGTCGTATGTTTCATTATAAGATATAAGAATACGTGATCTCTTGTCTTGTATAATTCTCACGCAAAAAGTCTGCGGTATTCAAAATAATTTATCTCAAAAATATAAATTTTAAATTTTAAAAGACTCTCTTGTAACATATACAACACTCTCACATATAGCCTTCCATAACATTTTATTGATAATTTCAAATGTACATAGAAAGTACCTATAACATAGAAAGTAGAAAATAATTACAAAAAATAATTTCAATTGCAGTTTTTAAAAATATTTTGACGCATAATTTACAATTGGAAAACTTGATATAGAGCATATATATGTATACACACACACACACGCGCGCGCACACACACACACACACACACACGATTTAGCAAAATGGTTCAGACACAATGAAATTGGTCATCCACCAAACTGTCAAAATTAAGAGTCATATGACAGGCTTGCCTAGTAATTATATTATTAACATAATTATTAATTATTAGCAATTATTATTTATCATAGTGTGCTCTTAATTATATTATTGTGTAATTACTTAATTTTGAGAATTTGGTGAGGTTCCAACTTCATTGTGTCGAAATTATTTTGCAATCCACTATACATATATTTTGTAAGCAACGTCAAACATGTCGTAACATTAAGTTGGCAAAAATATTTACTCAAAAAACAATGATTCCTGTTCTTTCCACTTTTGTGTCCACTATCACTTGATAAGGAAAAAATAATATTGTAAGTAGCCACTTTACTGCTACCTTATTACAATATCCATCCATTGGCACGTGATTTGTTAACAATTATACAGTAATCTGTTTTGTAGTAATTACTGGATGTATTTAAAAATATAAAAATACTTCCGACTTATCATGTTTGATTTTCCGAAATTGTACAAAGCAAACACGGAACAAGCATTCAAAGATTCTACATCAGTCCAGTCACGCTTCGCACGCACACATGTATGCACACACGCACGCATCCGTGACACCTTTCCCGCCTAACGGTATCCGTCCGTTATCTCAGGTAGTGGGTTAAACGGAACACGTATTACTCAGCGGATCGTCTCGCATTATTATTTCACTGACTCTGCTTTTAACACAATTATCTGCCATGCGCTAATCTCGGCGGGATTTGCAAAACTTAATTTAACAATATATTTAACAATTCATAACAAACACATATATGTAACAATGAGCTTTTTACAATTGCAACAAATCAATCATTACAAATCATTAATCTATAATCTTGTATGTCACATTAATTATTACTGTTCCCATAAAAAAATAATATGCGGAAGTGTGCAGATTTATTCATATATTAGAAATCATTTTCTACACCTATAACGTGCCTGTTTTTTTTTTTTTTTGGCACTTTTCCAAATGAATATCGAGCAAATAAAATATAATTTAACTTAGTCTCACACTCCTAACAATTGAATTCTAATATTTGGCTTGTTGGTTCAATGCATCCAAAAGCATAGGAGTGAAATACGTTATGATGCAATCGGCACCAGCTCTTCTCATGCAAGTTATTGTCTCCTTCACTGCATTCAGTAAGTTGAACGCTTTATTGTTTGCAGCATGTTGCAACATGGCGTATTCTCCTGAGACTTGGTATACAAATAAAGGATATTCGGGATGAGCGTCCTTTACACGTTTCACTATATCTAAGTAAGGCAGTCCTGGCTTCACCATTAGCATGTCCGCTCCTTCTTCTACATCTCTTCTCTTTAAAAAAAAAAAAAAGAATTTTGATGATAATATATAAAATTTAAACAGTAGATTCTTTATCTATCTGATAGTCAGAAGAATATAAAATAAAAAGGAAAATATTGATATAATTTTAAGATCTGTATTAATAATCATTTACTTATTCGAAAATATTCAGATTTAAATTAGAGGTAGATATCTTTATGTTATTTTTGTTTTATGTCACACGATTACAAACATAATGTTATATATATCATACAACTTAAATGAAAAACTTTGATTTGACTCTAAATTTAAATCAAAGTTTTTCATGTAAGTTTCTCAAGTTTCAACAAATTTTCATAGATTTGAGAATTTTACATAATATATCGCTGCAAAACAATGATGTATAACTATAAATAGAATAAAACTTACGGCCGCTCTAACTGCTAATCCGGCGCTACCCGCAGGTAATTGGTAACATTGACGATCGCCTGTTGACGGAGCGCTTAACGATGCCTCTCGGAAAGGGCCGTAAAGTGTTGACGCAAACTTTGCGGAGTAAGACAAGATTGCTACCTTATGCGATAAGTTTTTCAGCGTTAGAGCCTGTTTTATTGCAGCCACTCTACTATCCATCATATCGGACGGTGCAACAATATGGGCGCCTGTCAAGCATTTATAAACATTATAAACATTTATGTATAAATATTATGAATACGTATGACAAAGATTTATTGCGTATATCACAGAGTTATAAAAATATCAATAAAGTTTTTCTCTTAATAATAACAGATTTGAACAAATATTTTTTTTAAATCAAATAATTAACAATTGATTCAGGCAAAATCACTAAAGAATGTTTAATTGAAGATTGTATTTTTCACGGTCTTGGAACAAAATCCATTGACCATTAATTGAAAATTGATTTCAATGAATTCAATTGAAAACTGATGATTGATATGGGTGAAAGAAATTAAAGATTATTCGATTAACGATTGAACTTAGCAAATTTAATTAAAAATCGTTTAATTGACAACTGAAAATTTAATTAAAGGCCGTTTAATTGATAATTGATATAAACAATTTTTTTTCAAAATAAAACTATTTTTTTTCAAAATAAAACTAGACTTATCCTTTATGTTATTTTTAAACACATTTCTTACCAGCCTCTGCATATGCAAGAGCAACTTCAGCGATTCGTTTAATGCTCGCTTCGTTATCTATAGAACCATCTTCTCCGATAATACCACAGTGTCCATGAGATGTATATGGACATAGACAAACATCACACGCTATTACCAAATCGGGGAAATGACTTCTGAGTATCTTTACAGCTTTGATAACAGGATTCTCTTTACTGTCGGCATGAATACCAATAGTATCCTATAATTAAAAACCAATCAAAATTATATATATCTTTATTATTGAATATTTAATTAAAATTAAAATATTAGTATTACATATTTATAAAACTAATGACTATCTCTTCTCTCCCATTCTCCTATATATATTCTCCTATATATATTCTCTTTCTCACACAAAAGCAAATATCTGAATTAATTTTTCAAATTTGTATAGAAAAAATGAAAAATTAAATAAGATTTGCGATATATATTTTGCATAAATTTAGGGAAGCTTTATCACTGTTAATAGATACTACCTTTGATAGGTGGCGTAACACACCAAATAAGAGAATAGACTTCAATCCTTTCTTAATTAAAGGTGTCAAATGGGATATTAACGAGGAAACTCCAAAACGATATACACCAAACATACTTTCAATGCGTTCAGTATGTTCTATGTCACTAAAATAACATACAAGATTTTTATTTGTATATTACATGCCATGCCACATATATTTTTTATTAATTTTTTATTATTTTTATTATTTTTATTATTTTTTATTTCAGAAAATTATAACATTTAAAGAAATATATGTTCTTAAAAATAATTAGATTCATAAAAAAAACTATATTTTTACAATATATATAATATATAATATTGTTATGTGACTTGTGTGCTACAAGATTCTATTTTTCTTCTTTATTGGTAAAGCATAAAATTTACATATACTTATGGAAAATGTCTATATATACATGTTTTGCAAGAGTGTACATTATAAATGTGAGTATTGAAATAAGTAGAAAAATATATTATAAATAATTATCAGATATTATACTTACGATACAAATATAGGTAGCATAAGATTACAAGCAGTGAAATTAGTTGTACTCATAGATTGCCATTCTCGTAAGAGAGGGTGAAAAATGCTACTGTGAAGATTGTGCTTAGCGCTCCTCATCATTGTTACTGGTACTCCAGTTACTTCTTTTACAGCTGAATTACTTGCATTATTTTCTTCATCCTTCTTCATTCTTAATATTATAGTACCAGACATAGTTCTTTTTATAGTTATATAATAATTATTTGAGTTTATCAGAAAATGGGTAATCTAGAATATCATACATTATTACAATTCAGATTAAAATATATGAGCAATAATAATTATATAAAATAAATTATGTGTAAATGAAACTTTTTTACTACAATTAAAATTTAATTTGCCTGAATAATTTAAAGTGTTAATGAGAGAAATTTCTATATGTGACATAATATGCAATTAATACTGTTATTAAAAAAAAAGAAAAACCATATATGAAATAAATCATGATGTGTAGCAAATATAAATATTATATATGTATTATATGTGTACGACTAGAGAAAAAGAAAAAGTAACAATCGTAGTTTGATAAAAGATCGAATACAACAGTAGAAAGAACAATATTCGACATTCGTACAAAACACAAGCAGAATATTTTTACGAATTCGCCGAAGTTATTATATATACGTCGAATTCTTAATTCGACGTCGAATTATATAATTCGAATTTATTTGGATAATAATCCAAATAAAATTCCAAACAATTATATAAACTTCTTACTTTTATTATAATGAAAATAGTAGTTTAAACAATGTCGTCTTAGTTTGATATTGAACATGGAACTAGATTTTCCAAGCACAAAATGTAAGATAAGCATGACATTGTGAAAATGTTACTTCCCACTATTGACGTTAAAAACTTGCGATGCAACCAGAATACTGACAGATACAAATTATTAAGATACATAATTATGTGAAACAAGTGGTCACATATTCTTCGATCGGTTATGTAATCCGAAGATTAATTTTTTCGTGACGCGGGTTTACGAATGTGTTATCAAATATTATTTCATTTCATATTTGAAATTCAAGAGATAAATTTAAAACCCTTCTTGTACAATTACTAGCTATATATATTATACATACTCTATAGGTGTACAGCTAGAAACTCTTGTATCATAGAAGACTCAGAATGTGTATATAGCAGATAAAAGAAATGACTGACCGGAATGTAAAAGTCATTCTACAATTGCTTTTTCTCTTTCTCTCTCTGGTTGCAGGCCTGACTCGGTGGGCCTAGAGAACCTCTAGTAAAGAGAATCGTCAAGCAGCTACTCTGCGATTAGCTGATATAAACAGGTACGGACCCGGCATTGCGACGCCAATGCAAAACCATATATATATATAAAGCTATCCACACACACTTTTCATCACACTTTTCCGGAATACCAATACGCTCATTGGATATCGCTCGTCGCATATCATGTGTCGCGTCGCGCATCGCATTGGCTGCGAGAGCCATAAGACGTAACGTAAGAATTGACCAATTACGATCGAGTATTCATAAAAATGGCGACCTTACAATCGACGATTCACAACATGATTGGTCAATTCTTACGTTACGTCTTACAGTTACTGTTACGGAAAATGTGTGTGGCCAGCTTAAAATAACCATCTGTCTACATTGGCGTCGCAATGTCTAAATCCGTACATGTTTAGCCAATCAGCTGGTCACATGACCATGTTGGCGATTCTCTTTACTAGGGTTGCATTCCAAAACGTTCTTTTTGAGGAAAATTTTACTCAATATCTATAGTTCACGTTACATATACTATAGAGTATCGAGTAAAATTTCCCAAAAAAGACGTTTTGGAACGCAGCCCTAGTTTAATATAGACATCTGTGGACAGGATTGAGTTGTCATAAACTATATAGTTACTAGGGGCGCGTCCCGTTAAGCCCGTATCAGACTATCGACTGCACAGCCGACCCGACTGCCGACTACGACTCCTGACTCTCAATGGACCAATCATAATGAGGCGCCGACTGACTAGATCGGCCGACTCGCATTTAGAGTGCGTTCCGAGTTGCGCATGAAGCGCGTATTTCTTACAGTATACGTGACATAAACTATAGATAAATAATTAACGGAACGCGCACTAGATGGTTGTGCCTATGATTAATGCAGGATTCACACCGCGTCCAATATCCAATGTACGACGTCCGATATCCAATAAAAGAACAGCTTTCTATTAGAGAATTCAATTCTCCATTGGAAAGCTGTTCTCCTATTGGATATCGGACGTCGTACGTCGGACATCGGACGCGGTGTGAATCCTCCATAAGTTTACATGGTAGCTTAGGCTGATATTTCACGTGTCGTACGAAAAGATTTTTGGATATGTTCATTGGTTGACGAACAGAGAACCTAGAAATACTCTATTCGCCAACCAATAAACGTATCCGAAAAGCTTGTCGTATGACAGGTAAAATAGCACCCTAGAACCGGTTTAGTAACAACTGTATTTAGTAAACTCTCACATCCGATTGATTCTTTCAGATCTGGAAATATACTCCAATCGGATTCAAGAGTTCACTAACTATGATAGTTACTAACTACGATAGTTAGTCAATAACATTTTTCAGCCTTAGTGGAATTAATTCTACTTGATTTAACGTAAAAATCCTTAGTGAATTTCGGAACGCAGCTTATATCGTTGCTGCACGCACCGCCGTGGCAATTTGCGGAACTGTTTTTAATTTTGGACCAATGAGCGTGACGCTTACGAATTCAAACGACATGACGCACACGCAACCAGTAGACCTGTGAGCGCATTCAAGTTCAAAAGCACGTATAAGTGGGTAGAATCGACGGTGCCGAAGATTGAAGCCGCAGAGATATAAATAAATAAATAAATTTCTCTATACAGCTCGCGGACGAAGAGCTTCACAGTGTCTGTTGCTAGCCAATGATTCTTCGAACGGCACGACGATCGACACGGTCGGCCGGTTTGACAGATGTGCAATCAAGAATGCCTAGTTGATAGGTGCTGTTGGCGGTAAGGGTTTACCCTTAAATCGCACTTTGTGTTTCATCGTGTAATCAAAAACTGTAGGAGTGAAGTAAATCGTGTCCATGAATCTCTAATACAACGTTCGCGACGTTCAAACGCCTCTACAAGTGAATACTTATTTTCGCAAATCTTCGATCGATCAAAGATCCCCGCGGGTGGCTTGTACGACAAAGAACGAGTGAGAAAGTGGAGAAAGAAAGAGAGAGACAATAACCAAGTGATCTATGAAAAATCACGACTTTCATGTCTTCACCTTTGTGTGATATTGTGTCGAGCATCAGGTATTATATTCATACAATTTCTCTGTGCATTCCAATGCTTTAATTAGATGTATGAAAAGTTAATGAGAAGTTTGTAAGATTATAATTTATAGAGTTTCAAGAATTCTTTGAATTCATGTATTACTTATAGTGCAATAGAGTGAGAATTGATATTAGTTTTTGTCTATAGCTTTTAAGCATTGTGTGAACAGTATCTATGTGAGATGTTTGAAACAATTATTTCTCTATAATTTAATAGAATAATTGAAAAGTTCTATACTAATTTGTATCCAAATTTATGTTGAATAGAAGGAGATCATGTCAGATTCTATAACAGGATCTACAGATAACAGGTCCATTTCTGTTGATATGAGCCAGCAGACTGTTACGCGACCAAAATTCCAACCAATACGTCTCAAGGCACTCTTACATTTCTGTGAAAGCGACGATGACGATGATGACGATGACAACAGCGAAAGAAAGCCTCAGGAGTCTGAAGATGAATCAGACGATGAACCACAACCTTTGGCACAAGACGAATCCGCTGAGAATATACCACAACAGTTATCCTTATCTGAAGAAGATGTTAAATTGTCCAAAACTGATACACAGGACAGATTCTCTATCCATACTTTACAGGAAGAAAGTCACAAAGTTGCATCTGATGTTTCTTCTATCTTAGATAAACTAAGCTGTACAACAAGCAACAAGAAAGAATGCAAAGTTGGTGATGTAAATGTTGAGAATTGTCTTCCCATGGATAAACTAAATAAATTAGAGCCATACAGAAATAAAAATGAGGAGACACAGGACTGTAACGATGGTAAAACGGTTTCAAGGAGTTATCAAGTTGAAACTGTTCATGAACGCGCAACAAATGTAGCATTACCTTCTTCGTCGTTGTCACTTTACAAAGGGGATTCTGATGCGAATAGAAGTCTGCAATCGACAAGCAGTGGTCAGTCGCATCATGAAAACGCTTACATGTCGGATGTATTAAACAGAAAGAAAGAGGAGCATGTGTATAATATGTTAGCAGAGAGCAAGAAGCTGTTAGGGACTAGTAACGACAGCTTCTTGAGCGACGATAAATGGCATAGAAGTGCGCATAGCTTGGCCGGTATCGAGCAACCCGGTAAGGACCACGAGGAGAAATTTCATCGCAGGATCTCGAACGTTGAATCGGAGCCCGTCGGCGTGTCGCTGAGCACATCTGGGAATTCGATTTATCCCACGGCGAAGCACAGTTCGCAGCATAACGTTACGAAGTACGAAGGCAACGAAAAATATGCAGCCGCGGAAGGCAAGCATATCGACCTCAGCACACCATCGTTAAGTAAAACGTTCTCCGTCGTGAATCGCTTGGTCGTAGAGACTCCGATGAAGCACCTGCAAGTTGGCCCGGTGCATCCGAATCCGTGCACGTCGCACAAACAGCTGTTTTGTACCCCGCAGAACAAGCTGCCCAACGACCCGAGCAAAAACTACATCCAGACTCCCTCTACGATACTCTCCAGCTGGTGTCACAATATGAGACACACGCCGGTAGACGGGAAAAACCACGTCGCAAAGGATTGTGTACCGACGCCCAGGAATGCAGTCTATGCACCGGTCATGGGGAAAGGAGAACTATCCAGGTGTGTTATGTTGGTTTTCGTCGCTCTTTTCTTGAAATCATCGATAATTTAATGAAAAAAAATTATTAATTATTACAAGATTGTAGAAATTTCAAATTTTTCTCAACTTAATAATTAAATAAATGTTTCAATTCAATTAATTGACGCGCAAAATTAATCAAACAATGTTTAATGATTGATTTCAACGAGTTTTTAATTGAAGATCGTTCAGTTAACGATTAATATGAGCGAAAGGGATCAAAGACCATTCAATGAACAATTGAACTTGGCAAATTTATCAATTAGACGGTCTCCAATTAGATTGATGCATATTAATGTAATTAAACGTGATAATTAACTAAAGAAGTAATTAATTACTTGCAACCTCAATTATCAACTTCCTCATTGCAGATGATGTATTTTACAGATCTGGATATTTTGTAGACATGAACTAAAAGTTTATCTTTTTTAAAGAGATTGTAAGACACATTTTTAACTTTTCAATATGTTTTTACCATGCTTTGTGAAAGTTGTATGATTTTTTTTATAATTGAAATTTGCATATTAATGGAGTTATAGAGCGCTAGTATGCACGATATATCCGCTTGTAGTGATCTGAAGCAAAAAAGAAAAGAAGATTCTTATTTTTATAGAAGTATACAGCTTATTGTCTGAACTAGAATTTTTGTATTAAATCAAAATTTTATAAAATTGGGGAGTCGAGAAATTTAGTTAAAATAGTTAAAAATTTAAAGATTACTTTCCAATCTGATTGAAACTGAATAATTCATTTTCATTACAGGTGCTTCGGACTGGACACGAAAAGTGCAAGAAGACCTTTAGCAGACGCTAAATTGACGCACGGCGATTCCTCTATATATTCTCTGGAAACGAAGCCGCCGCTCATGATGCAGAAATTCCCCGAGACCAAGTGCGTTACGTCCGAGATGCAACAAGATGACAGAAGCAGAAAGACAATCGGACTATCGGAGGCGAAATCAATGCAGATCGAGGCGAATTATGATAAAGGTAAATAATACAATGCATATAAAATTGTGCAAATCGTTACACGCGATTGCACTCGAATTGTCATTGTTAGATCGTCATTGCGTTTAGATTCGAAATCGGTGAACTCTGTCGAAGAAACAAAAGAGAACAAACAGCCCAATTTACCGGACCCTCTGCTAGGGAATGATAAGAGAATCATGCAAGAGAGCAAACAAACGATTGTTGGTCCCAGCACGAGCTTGAAAGTAATGCAGGATTCCGCGCGAAGGTACGACATTGAGCACAATGTTGTCTCGAGTACAGAGTGCAAAGACTTGCAAAATCGTCAGAGGCAGCATGAAAGGTCACGGCAGATCGCGGGCAAAATGGGGAATATACAGTTTTCTGTACCGTCGAGCATCCCGCTGCAACGACAACGTAAAACGTTATTCGTGAAAGACAGAGAATACTTGGTCCTGGGCTCTTTGGGTCAGGGAATGAGCGGCGAGGTATTGCGAGTGCAGGATTTATCCTGTGGCGAGCTGCGTGCTATCAAATGCGTGGACTTGAGTAAGATGGATAAAGAGTCTGCTCAGGGTTGCTTGGACGAAATCTCCTTACTGCACAAATTACAGGCGCCCTGCGTTATCAAAATGTTCGATTAGTGAGTACATATTGAATTATAACATAACAAATATCTAGAACGATCGTTTATCGTGAGAATTAATCATATAAAACCTGTATCAATAGTCATTATTCGGAATTTGTCTCAAGTAAGATACATTTAAATCTAGAATTAGATGAGTTTTCAGTTGAATCACGATTACAAATATAATATCACATACATACGATACGTATAATATGTAATTCAACTAAAAAATCCAAATATAACTTTACATTTAAATTTAAGTGAAGCAATTTTCAAGTAAAGAAATATTAATCGAAATAAGACTACGAGAATATTAAGATTTATATTAAGAATACTAATATTAACAATTGTTATTTAAAATTGCTTCAAGTGAGATAGTCAGATTTAAATATAGAATTAAAGCGAGTTTTTTCAGCGCAATTACAAATGTAATGTCACTTATATAATTAAAATAATAAAATCAAATCTTACTCTAAAAAAAAGAATTAATAAAATTTAAAGAACTTTAACACGTTAAAGTGTAACACGTTAAATATATCGCGATGGACATTGATGACCAATATTATGATATTACCGCATATCATTAAGTATAAAATATAATTAAATATATTTAAAGAATCGGTTGTACACAGCCAATAGAGAACTGGTAATGAAAAGAGGTAAAAGATATGTGTGTTTTGAGTTATATTGATTTACTTTATTTTTGACAATTCAACCATTCAAGTTTTTGTAACGGAAATCAACGCGCTAGTCAACGTATTAATCGCACTTTTTTTTTTTTAATGGATTCATTGATTTTGACTTCATTACTTCAGCAATATTAGAGAATCCATGGTCTATGTAGTGATGGAAATGGGTGATACTGATCTCAGTCGTCTCTTAAAATCCATGTCCCAGGAAAAGCAAATTCCTCTTACAATGATTCTGTATTACTGGACCGAAATGCTCACTGCTGTAAAACACATACATGATAATGGTAAGTGTAACGTGCACTTATATTTCATTCTCCGATAGATATCTATGATGTGTTCTTTGTATTTAGGAGTTATACATTCGGACTTGAAACCGGCAAACTTCTTATTAGTACGAGGTCGGCTCAAGCTAATAGATTTCGGAATTGCCTCAAACATAAACTCGGACATGACGTCGGTCTTGAAGAATAACCCGATCGGAACGTTAAATTATATTAGCCCGGAAGCCCTGATGGACATTGGCGGTAACGCAGACTCGCCCACTCATAATGTTAAATACAAGGTGAGACGAGAGTAATGTGATTATAACGTTAATTCAATTAATTTCAATTTAGTTAATTACAATTAATATAATAAATAATTTCTATACATGTTACTTAAAGAAAAATGTATTGAATATGCGATTAAATTTGACTAGAAAATTAATGCTCAGAGAATGGATTGATAATTGATCAATTTAACAGTACCTGTAAAGTGAGGGAAGTAACATACAAGTTTTCTTTCTATCCAACAGATAAGTTTCAAGTCGGATGTGTGGTCATTGGGATGCATTTTGTACAGTCTGGTGTATGGTCATACGCCTTTTCACAACATACGCTCTCAGTGGGCGAAGGTAAACGCCATAACCAATCCTAAGCCGAATATCTTGTTTCCGATGTTTCCAAACAGCGAGTCTCAGGCTGGCGAACGCGCGCCACCCGTCCTGATCGACGTGATGCGAAAGTGTCTTCAGCACGACCCGAAAGCAAGACCTACTGTGGCACAATTATTGCAAGTGCAATACGTGCCCACCAAACAGAATGTCGCAACCACGATGCCCGATGTTCCGACGAGTATCCTCATGAAGATAAGGCATGCTTTGAACGAGGAAGAGTGGCGGCAATTGATTCAGGTGGGTGTTCGTCCATCTTCTTCATTTTAACATATCGTTCTCTGGGGATGTATCTCCAAAGTGCAAATTTGTCTTTAGCAAAATGTAAGCATCTAATGGAATGTGTGAGAAAGTATGTAAGGGATTGTAAAGAAGAAATAAGGGATCTAATGTTAAAATTAAAGAAAACTTTCGTTGTTTAACTCAAGATGAGTTAATCGCGACTAAAGTCGTCTCTGATGATCCATATTTTTAATCCTTAAATAATTCTGATCAAAAGAAACATTAGGCCTGTTGTTTTTAACTGAACTAGTGCTACACTGAGATTTCGTTTCTTTTTCTTCAACGCTGGGTATATATTCGTTTCGCTCTATAGGCGAAAAATGGAATCTAGTTCAACTAAAAAAAACATAAAATATTTATATAGGATTTAAGGGACTGTACAGAAAATAACTTGTTCGTCGCATAGTCAAGGTATTAGATTAAATACGGAGATTGCTTGTGTTGCTTTCGAGATTCTTTGCACAAAAATTACACATACAGAGTTACATACTAAAACGAATGGTCGCAGTCGCATAAACGAATGGAATATTATTATTCGTGTCGACTCAACATACAAACCCAATTGAACGGAAATTAATAGCTCGTTTTATTATATTTTTTTCAGGTATTGGACACAAAGCGGCATCATACATAATATTATGGAAATAATAAATTTACCTGTTTACTTATTTGTAACTTATTTGTTTACCGGTGTACATAAAAATATTTGTATATATATACAAGAGACAGCAAGGCGTAAATATACAGAATGCTTATTGACACATGTCACAAAAAGGGTGATGTGATAAAAATAATATATATATATATGTATGAATATAACGTGTAGAAAGAGAGGAAGTGATAAAGATAGATAGTAAAGAAATGTAAGATATCAGAATAGCGTTTATAAATAAGATTGCAATAGAATTATGCTTACCTATGTCGCGAACACGAAACTCTGTGCATATCAACAATTGCATTTTAAGAAAGTAAAGTTTTATAAGATTATATTAAATTAAAATAACTTCTTTTCTCAGTTTTATTACCTCTCATTCGCACGTACAAATGATTCGCTATACTTTATAGTGGCTAACGCAGTGACGATAACCGGCAGAGCTGCGTGTCAGCGATATTCTGCAAATTTCGTATTCTATAATTCGGACTAAATTTCCGTCTTGCCTATCGATCATTATCGATTGTTCCGCCGCGCGGAACAGTCAATGAGCCTCAACTCTTTCGCTGCGTACTGCACGGAATCTCCGACTTATCTGCCTGAAGATTTAAGATTAACGAATGAATAAATTTTTCTCACATATGGTAAATAACTAGTCAGTTTATTTAAACTTCGTAAATCTTGGTAAGTGAGAACAAGTATATACTTTTTCATCGTCTCATATAATTATCGAAAACTAATAAATCAATGGCTGCATTCCGAAAGCAATGCGATTGAGTAAGTGCTTACTGCTTTTGGGATATTTTTCTATATTTTCCATATTTCAATCGACGCGTTATGGAGTCAAAGTGACAATACATGAAATATTCAACGTTAAAATTGCAATAGAATTAATTCAAGAAAAACGTGAATATTATATTTATCAGATAAAAATATAGCTAAACGACCAATACTTTTATACCGTGTATTGTCATTTTGACTTCTATTAAAACTGATAATACTAAACAAACCTGTAAGCAGTGGCTCATAATTGTAATCGTTTGATATGCCGCTAACTTCGTCAGAAAAAAATGTGTTCAAATCGTTTTGAAAGCTCACTTCGCTTCGTTTTTCCGAACACGATCAATGTTGATTTTTTTTTTTAATATAAATTGAAGTACTTTGACGCGGCAAAGCACAAGTACCCACACAATAGAGAGAGATTTGGTATAATATTCTTAGTTTATATTTATGTACATATTTGATTATATGGTTACACTTAAAATGTTTACATCCTAAATTACAAAAGAGTACGAACGTAGGAAAACGTAAGAATTAGTAACAATTACGTATATCTACTTTTCTTTTTTACTAATTATCCACACCAATATATAAAAATAGACACTGATGTACGTGGAAATAAATATCCGTGTACACTTCTCACGTTAAGAAGATCCAGTTGATCGCGACTAACCAACAATGCGCAATCGAGATATTGAGCTCCAAAGATACTTTTGCTTCCGATATTTCCTTTCTACGTCAGTACACATAAACTATGTAAAAGTGCACGATATGTTTGAAAGAAACAAAACAAAAAAGGAAAAGATACGTTGTATATTTATTTTGTCTAAGTGAATCCGACGTGGAAATTTATCGCAAAAAGTGCGAGAAAGTTTCCCGACCAAGCTTCACTGTGCAGCGAAAGAGTTAAAGATAATTCGAAGGTGTCAGTGTTGTGCACCTACGTACAGTGTACGTACGCAAAATATCTAAAACCGTTGTCTCGCGCGCAACTTAAATAGAAAATCAATTTAAAAAAATACAATTTCGAAAGGAACTAAAAAACCAAGGTGCGAGTATTAAGTGCTACTTTATATTATACATTATAAATTATTACAAATTCAAAATATCACAATTAAGCTATTCAGCCAATTTTTGAAAGTTCTCTAATGTTATCTACTAATGCAATATGGCTACCATCAGATCTACCAAAGCAAATTCGAAAAGCCAAACGCATATTGCATATTTTTTCTTAAGTACTGGTAGTATTGTACTGCAAGACATTATATCTTAGCTATATCTATCAATTATTACTTACTAGATAAAGTAGTATATATACAGCAGATGGGAATAGAAATCTACATATGCAGAAATATATACAGGCATGTATATATCTATATGTGTATGTGTGTCTATATATATTTCTGCACATGTATATTTCTATTTACATATTTCCGTCTACTATATATGTATATATATACTATATATATGCTTTATCTAGTAAGTAATAATTGATAGATATAGCTAAGATATAATGTCCTGCAGAGTACAATACTACCAGTACTTAAGAAAAAATATGCAATATATAGCTAAGATACATGTCCTGCAATACAATACTATCAGTAGTTAAGAAAAAATATGCACTTGGTTTTTCGGATCTGCCTTGGTAGATCTGATGATAGCCGTATTGCATTAGTAGATAACATTAGAAAGCTTTCAAAAATTTGCTGGGTAGCTTAATTGTGACTGTTTTGAATTTGTAATAGTTTATAATGTATAATATAAAATAGTGCTTAACACATTTTGGTTCTTTAGTCCCTTTCGAAATTGTATTTTTGTATTATAATTATATTATTAATTGTGTGTATTATAATTATATTAATTATATTATTATAATTATATTTTTGTATAACTATAGAACTGTATATAAAACCCTTTAGTGTATATAACGGTCAATTTAAAAAAAGTGATTATTTGTTATCGTCTTTAATTTGATAAATTATATTGTTGATATTATACACACAAAACTAGTCGCTCAAACACATCTGTAAGCGTAAATGCTCAACGCCGAACACGGCAGACATTTGCGTCTCGCTACCTTCCTCATCGTAGATATGCCGTATAAAACGCAAGTAAGTCTTTCGTTCGTCGTGAACGTCGTCCTTAGCTTTTTCCCCCGATGACGACATATTTCTCGCTGATCTGTCGACGTTCTATTGCACTCCCGGCGGCGACGGATCAATGCGTACTCGTGAGCTGCCAATATTGCAACAGCTTCTCACCCTTCGGCAGCGCCATGCAATTCGGTCTCTCGAACGTCAGCATGATGTCCTTGACCTTGTTCTTCAGCTCACGGTCGAACATGTGGCCGCCAGTACGCTCCAACGCCGATGCTATGTCGTATTCGACGGCGGGCAACGGCTCGTGAATGAAACGCGCCGCGCTGGCGATACTGGGCAGAATGTGCCACTGCAGCGCTCTGATCTCCCAGAGGCTGCTAAGCATCGCGTTGCTAAGCAACGGGTCGCGCTCTTCCATGAGAAAAGGGTCGCCCGCGCCGGTGCACGCGTCTGAGACAATCTCGCCCTCGCCTTGCGGATGGTCGATTAGACGCTTGAGTCCCGGATGCCGCTTCATCAGATTGCCCACGAAAAGCAAGATTATCAGGATATCCTCCGGCGGCGCGACCAACGTTAGACGCGCGAGTCGTTTCGCGAACGCTGCTACCAACGATTCTGGCAAGTGTCTGAAAAGAAAGAAATGCAAAATTATATATATATTCGTAGTATATATTAATATATTCGTAGTATGTAACGTCGATCACTTCAATTAAATATAATTGCGAGATAAAAAATATTAAAAATATTAAAATTTAAAATAAAAAAATTATAATAAAACAACAAACACACTAATATTACAGATTTAAAATTAGTATATTTTTTACAATATAATGTACATGCAAAGGTACAAATTAATTAACTTTAAATATCAAAACATTTCGGATATTTTTCGTTATCATCTTTAGCTGAAATTATAAAATTAATAATTTATTATTACTTACAAAATTAATAACTTGAATTTATAATAACTTGAATTTATAATTTATAATTTTATTATTACGATTAAAAATAATTGCTAAAAAAAATAGCGGAATGTGCATTTCGAGAAATTTAACTAATTTGTGCCTGTACACTATTGTAAATATATACTAAAGACCTGCAATATAGTTCTTAGTGTCTGTTGTCTTAGGCCTGGTTGCACCAACATTATTTTGGCTTTAAGCGAAACTTAAACATATATCTATCTTTATCTTTCTTTCTAAGTAAATAAAGACAGACATATATTTAAGTCTTATTTAAAACCAAAATAACGTTGGTGCAACCGGGCCTTAATGTTCTTTTTTTTACGCAATTCCCAACAGTGCAAACGATTCTTCTATTGGAGAAAAGACTTACGTCGAACTGAGAAACAGATCTGCCAAATAGAACAGACGAGCCTTGTACTTCGTGTGGAAGATCTCGGGCTCGAACATCGAGTATAGCTTGGTGAAGATACTCGGGTATTCTAAATTGTGCTTGGTGACCAATATGAATACACCATGCAACGCGAGCAAGCCGATGGTACCGTCCGCGTCCAAGGAGTCCATTAAAAAGTCGCATAGCAGCACAGGTTTCTCTAAATGCGACATAACTCGTTCCAACAGGACTAGCAATAGTTGTTTGTGCAGTTGCGGTGTTAGTTCCCAATGCATGACACAGGCCCAGACTTTGTTCAGCGCGCGTCTAACCGCCGACTGATCCCATGTGAATGCGACGCCTGATCAAAAAGATTTACAACTACTTGTGTTAAGGCAAACGACAATGATACTGAAAACGTAAATTATAACGTGAAACATACCTTGTGGTCCGCACAGAAGTTCTTTATTGTCTGACATTTTCGATTCTGAAATATTATTTGATTGCTCGTATTGTTTTTATATCAGTTTTTATATCAGTAAACATACAAAGTACAAAACTACATATGTGAAAAATATACTCATAATCATTTGTACATCATATTGCAAATTTAAAGTTGATGAAATTGTTAAGACCCTTAGACACATTAGCTTGATGTAAAAAAATTTGTTGAATAGAAAACGGAATTATCTAATCTTGAGGAATAAATAATCCTTATAAATAAAACAAACATTTTACTTTTTAAGATTTTAACAAAGTTTTCCTATTTTCCTTTCAATGTCTAAACTTGCGACAAGAATTTAAGAGTAAAGTAACAAATCTTTTGCATCAACTTAATATAATTGAGAAAGAATGAAACAAGTCAGGAAGAGCTAATACAATTACAAATTTTAACTTCATAAATACTATACCTTCTCCCTCCTTTGGCAGTGGTATTTTATGTATAAGTTCCAAAAGATTCTTAATATAAATTCCCTGTGGTTGCCTCTTGGGAGTAAGAGAGGGAAGACACTTCCATGTATAATATAAAGCGTCGGGATAACCAGTAATCTCTTGGAATCTTGATATTAAATTAGTATTGTCTTTCTCTGGTGATAGTAGCGTCATGAGAATAGGCTTTAGACGAAGAAGAGGAAAGTGATAACCCAGATTATCACGTGGTTCTAATGGAGCCTTGCCTTCTTCTGCCATTAGTTTTATCGCAGTAGTGAGGGCTTGCAGTTGTGTAGCTGGCCGACAGTTCTCTAAAGATGCAAGTATCTTCTTCCACACCTCCTCATAACAACTTCTCAGCCAGCTGGTATAGCGTGATTCAGGGCTGGGTTCTGTTTCAGATACCATGTTAGCAGAGACTACTTTACCAGTTGTGAAGTTCATACAAAAGTTTTCAAATCACCAATGGTCAAAGTTTGGGCTTACCTGAGATGGCAAGAGCTATCGTGGACTCTTCATACATGTCACCGCGCCTCAACACTTCCGTGAATATCATTTCTACCGTGAGCAAACACGGGAAGGTAAATTCCTACGGCGAGAAGGAAGCTGAGATATCACAGCCATCGTTTCAAATCTCAAAAACGACCGGCAAGCAGACTAATAATTGCACTTACGTCCCATTGGCCGATTATATCCACCAAATTGTTCACATGCTTCCTCGAGGCGAGGAATTCCTGGCCCCGCTGTCGTATCAGCCTCGATATCGTCCTTTGATTCGTAGAAACGGCGGGTGAGTCCGTTACGTCCGTCATCGCCCGAGTTTCTTCGAAGACTTGGCTAATGGCAGCGAGTGAGCCGAAAACGGCAGGTATCTACGCTATCCTAGAATCGCTACTTTCGCAGAGTATTGTGCGCCTTCGACACAACAGCTATTGCAAATGACGCCATGTTCGATTCCGTGGTTAGGTTAGGTTAGGTTTGGTTAGGTTGGATCGGGTTAGGTTGAAGCGTATGGCACGTATAAAAATATAAGCAGTAACATTTAAGCGACCAATCATATTCGAGAATTGTCACAAACATGACTAGCATGTTGAAATGTTCTCAACTGTGATTATTCAATTTTGTTATTGCTCAGGCTCGTTGCATCAGCTTTTTCTGTAAAAGTCCCAATAATTGAACTGATAAGATAGCATGATCAGTGTTTGTGTCTTTTACACTTTTATTAATAAATTATTGATAGAATTACTAACAAAACTAACAAGTTTATATAAAACTTTGTCAAAAAATAATATAGAGAATAATAAATAAATATAAATTGTAATTTTAATGAAATATATAGTAGATAACGCCAGTCAGTAATTAAACTGATGGTTTTTGTCCTACTTATTGAATAATAGACTTGATGATTAAATAATTATTAAATAATACTACAAATTGACATAAAGAAGTATCTTTCACAAATTTCAAAGGCATCTTCTTTTTATAAATATTAAATACAAATATATTATTAATATTTCACAATTGCTGAAGCAAGATTTAATTACTACAATATTTACTTTACAGCCCTCAGCATCTTCATCCTGTTATAATGCAGGAGATAATAAAAACTTTGAAAAATTCTATCATTTTAAGCGCAATTGTGTAGTTTAAAATTGCAAATTATATTGTGTCTTACCAGTGTATTTCTTATGATATTTTCTTACTCTTTTTATCCAGAGACCCTGAAACTTTTTTCATTCTCAATAAGAAATATTCATTACTTTTGAAGTAAGGAATATCTTTACTTTAACAATAGTTTATTTATAAATCAATAAAACAAAAAGACTATCAATTACAAAAATAATCAAGGTTTGTGTATTAGTTGCAGCAGTATTTCCAGAATCTCTTGCTTTTGTTTCGACACAGCAATTCTCTGTCTCCTCTCTTCAATCTCCAACTCCAACCTGGCTTCACGCTCCTTCCTTTCCATTTTGAATTTTTCTTCTTCGAGTTGTATTCTTCTTTCCTCCAGGCTGAATTGTTTCTCTTGAAATTCCACCTCTTTCTTGTGTCTCTCTTGCAAGAATTGCAGCGTCGACTTTCTTAGTCCATCGTGTCGTGCTTTGTTTCTAATTGGGCCGCCAGTTCTGGACGGCGACGTGTTTGGCGATCGCAATGGGCTGGCTGAGGTTAGTGGAGTTGACGAGGACGACGACGACGATAAAGTTGGCGATGGCAATGCAATTGGTAAAAACGTAGAAGATGGAAGCGATGAGGGTATAGACATTTCCACTGCTGGTTCTTCTATTATCACCTCCAAATTGTCAAAAATGTTCTCTACCTCAAGGGCAGCATCTCTTGCTTGTAACCCAGATTTTTGAGCATTGGAAGTGTTGATAGCTTTGCTGGTGCGTCTAAACTCTTTCTGCAAATCTTGTACTTGTTGAAGAAGTTGCTCCTTTTCATTGTACTGCTCCTCAGTGCCTGACCTGCAAATCATTATGATGTTATATCCTTATGATTACAATTACTTTCCAGCAAGAGACACAACTGACACAAAGCGACACAGTATTCAATACAATGCTTTCCTATAACACAATATAATACACAGTTGAAGAGTTGAATTAGTATTTATGTGTTGAATTTATGGCTATCAATTGTTTAAAGAGTATAATAAATCCCAAAATATACTAAAATATAGAAAGCAATACTGCTTTTTCATAAGTTTGTACATATACATGTGTACATTTTTGTTCATAATATAATTCTACAAGTTCTCTGGTACAATGATATTTTGGCATTTAATGTAATAAAATAAAGATGTTCTACTGTAAACATTATTCTAGTCATATTAGTTTACTTAATAAGACACTGAAACATATTTATTTCATTGAAATTATCACATAAAATTAATTTTAATAAATTATTATATTTACCGTGCAATAACATATATAACATTCAATTTTTTCAAACTAATTATAACCAAATCTCTCATTTTACAACTGTTTTGAGGAAAACTTTGACTACAATATTTATTCTTGCAAAAAATGATAGAATGGGGATTGTTTAACTTGAAGTGTAAACTACTATCTATATTGAGAACCAAGTAGTACTCCAACATTACACAATGCCTCAGTGTCTGACACTGTGTCTGTTAGAATTTGTGTCTCCTTGCTGGAAAGAGCAATCTACTTGAATATTATCCAAGTGACATATAATTCCAATGAAATATTTAATATTCAGCCAGACATTTAATATACCTTATTTAACCAATTAATATCAATCAATAAGTATTTGTATTTACTTCCTTAAATGTGTGCGTCCTTCTTTGGCCCAGATCTTCAGGAGATGATCAACATGCTCCTTGACGCAACGCAAACTGAAGTTCTTTTGCGTCGCCTTCACGACTCGCTCCGCGACGATTTTCCACCTGTCGCTCTCCTCGTATGGGTTTTGTCCCGAGACCTCCCGCAGCAGTATCAAGTCATCCAGAATCGTGAAGCGTAACCGCTCCGGTTTTGCCATCGAATCTGATAATGCGCACTTTCATACGGATATCTCGCCGCGAGTACTACTCGCCGCGCAATAACGTTTACCGTATCGGAAAGCGAGGACGCTCTAACATGTTTCTCGCAATAACATAACAACATGGCATTGCGAAGTAGAGATATCGTCTCGCCAGAGTGCACAACATAGCTAGCCTCTGACAGGATCAAATATGGCGGATTTGGCGTGACGTACGCTCTTATATTCAGCAACTCTACATACGAGATGTTTATTTGCGGGAAGAATATGGATGGAACTTTTTTAAAAAACACAACTCCCTCCGAGCTGCCGTTGAATCACGCTATTTGAAAATAAAAAGTCCTTTTGATATATCGTTGAGTTGTACTACTCGGAAAAGAGGTTAAGACTGACTTAAGTTTTCTACAATTTCGAATCTTATGCAAAATTCACACCGTGTCCAATGTCCGTCCGACGTACGACGTCCGATATCCAATTGGAAAATAGCTTTCTAATATAGAATTCAATTCTCCATTGGAAAGCTATTCTTTTATTGGATATCGGACGTCGTACGTCGGACATCAGACGCGGTGTGAATTCTGCATTATGGGTATAGACTTTTGCATGAAGGTGCCTTTACATGGAAGCATCAAGCGTTAAAGCGGTAGCCAATCAACGTGCCACTTTCGCAAGAACTACAAGTATACTTTTGGAACCTGATATGTTGATTGGCTAACGCTTTAACGCTCGACGCTCGATGCTCCCATGAAAAAGTACCTTAATCTATAAATGTATAAAAGGTAAAGAACGTTAATATAATTATGAATAAGATAATATCAATTGTACTTGGCATACAAAATATAGTGCATTTTTTTTAAAACAGCGAAAGTTCATCTTCAGACGATGAAGAAAATATTGCAAATATTTTAAAAATAATAACAGGACGAGGACCGGTAATATTAAGACCACGTGTAAAAAATTATATAGAAAATACTGTCGTTTTCCTTTTAGATGAAGGATTTAAAGAATACTTTAAGTAAGATAATTATGAATAAAGTAATTAATGCGATTAAAGTCCGTAATTTTAGTTCTCATTCTGTTTAATAATGGGCGCATTCAGTAGAAAAAGCGCTCAGTGAGCAATCAACGATTATTGGTTCTTGCTATTAGATCCCTAAATCTAGACCAATTACATTGACAAATTACTCAACTGTTGTGCAACTGTTGAGTCTACTGAATGCAGCCAATGTAGCTTACCTGATGCTTGTTCGTAATCTTGTTGAGATAATAATACTTCGTATGATTTATTTTCAGTTGCGTCAATTTCTGTACATTTTACTAAGGACTGGTTGCACCAACATTATTTTGGCTTTAAGCGAAACTTAAACATATATCTATCTTTATTTTTCTTTCTATATAAATAAAGATAGATATATATTTAAGTGTTACTTAAAATGGGTGTATATCAGTTGGACACGGGGCAATTGGACACAGTCCAATCACAAGTCGCTGTTCCAAGGGACCCTACAAATGTCTCTAATCACACGGTGCTGTGATTGGCTGTGTCCAAATGCACCGTGTCCAAGTGCACCGCTCCCACTTAAAATAACGTTGGTGCAACCAGGCCTAAGGCCATTTTCCACACTTATCACTTCAGAAACAGACGCTATATGCATTACTGAACCTGCACTACCTCGAAATAATGTGCGGAATTAACCGGAAGTCAGCAATTCCCTAGGACCTATTTTTGTGAAAAAAGTAGTAAATTTTGCTTTCTTACAGCATACTAACAATAGGTTTGTTCTTTCGACCTGAACTGGCTGCACTAGTTCACGAAGTTTGCACTAATGCGTTCTTTCGATCAGAACAGTGCAAGAAAATGTGTTCTTTCGAACAGTGCAGGCTGAACTAGTGCAGCGAGTTCAGTGAACTGACTGCCCTAGGTCTGGAGGTAGAGCAAGCAGTGCAGGGCAGCTAACCGAAAAAATTTAAATTTGTATCTATAACCTGTAAAATCGGTATACCTAGTTGACATTACGTAGAAGAAATAATCCGACGACGGAATCTATAAACAGTAAGTAAATACTTAAATATATAATGTGACGATTCGGGAATCGTCACGACGGCCGAAACAATAGGTTTGTTCTTTCGACCTGACCTAGGGCTGCACTGGAACTGTACTAGTTGAAGAAAGTTCAAGATAGTGCAGACCAGTGCAAAGATACATATGGGTCTGAAAAGAACGGGTAAGAGCAAGTTAGAGCAGTGTAAGATGGCGGACAACATGGCTGGATTAAATAACATAGATCAATTTATGGTCATGTTTTCGCACTTATAGCATTTTATGTTTTGTTGAACAATCCTATTTCTTTTAAAAACTGTTTTGTGTTGGATACCCATACAACAAATCCCT